AGGGCCTCTGATTGAAGATCTTAATGCTCAGGCAGGCTTATATGAGAGAAGGTGATATGTGTTGCAAAAACATTTATGGCTAACTTAATTTGTTCCATGACCAAAGCACTGGTTTATCTTTTGAGATAATTAAAGGTAAACAAACCTGGCTTGCTAGAAATACTTACCTGTATTGTTTTTTGTATTTATTCTTTATTTAAATGTGTTGCTTTGTTTTAAACATATTCCGCATTTGCAGAATTTGGTCAGTGAAGAATTAAATACCTGTAATTTTAACTTGTGTATTTTATTAGTACTTACTGCTTTTCTAGGAATGAGTTTGTAATCCCATCCAAATATAGTTATTCTTTGCCTCTTGTGAATTGTGGTTTCCGGGGGGGGGGGGGGACTCAGCCCCTGTTACTTCAAATGCATCCAGGAAGTTCAGTAGTGACAAGATGAGCAACGTAGCTGCAGCACTTGCCAATGTCCTGGAAACTAGAATTTAATCTAGATTTGTTGGGGCAGATCTATTTAAATAGAAGCATCTGGTTGAAGAAACTTTTTTCTCCAGAAGCCATAAACATTCATTCAATTATTATAGTTACTCGTAACCGAGGGATGCTGTCTATTGCACAATGCATGATCTCTTAAGTCATGGGCAATGTGTGGACATCCAATGAGTGTGACCCAGGGTGTACACAGTGTTGGGAATGAGGTCAGTGGTGTGACCCTGCTCCTTGTCAGTGCCTGAGTAACATGTGAATATGGTTTGTAAGATCTTATTCTTCTTAAATACATATAATCTTGCTAGCTTTCTTTATCCTTATATGGAGTCTGGTCAAATGCAATTTATTAAAGTAGCCTATTTGACAACATTTGAATTATTGGGAGGAATCCAATATTATGTTAAAATAATTGTTCTGTCAATTCAAGCATTTCTGCTTAAGTGGAAATAACCTCCCCTCTTCTCCACATCCTTCTGTGAGCTTCTGCTAGTGGGGCCAGTGAGTTGAATCTGGTCCAATATTCTTTCAAAGCAAAACTCCTATTTTGATGTCACTTGGTGCTAAGAAAGCCTTTGATAGATTAGAATGGTCATCTTTTTGAGAGAATTTTGGAAATCTTGATCTGGGGAAAACTCTGAAACACTAGCTTGGAATGAAATATAATTGCTGGGTATAGGAAAATGATTTTAATAAATTGAAATTATAGAGAGTATTTTGATGAGTCAATTATGGAAACTCCACAGCAGGTTGCAGTCAATTGGTCCCCATGGAAACATAGCAAAGCAGGAAGAGGAAGAGAGATAGGAGGCAGCAGCTGTAGACACATATCTGATTGATTTGTGTCTACTTAAAATGGAGCTGTCATCTGAGACAAGGCAGAATGGCTTGGAATACTGTAAGTGACTCCTAATACAGTCCGTAATCTAAGAAGTGTCAGAGCATGACTGGCTGCTGGATAGCAGAATGCAGGCGATGCAAGAGAAGGGTGATAAAAGAGAAGGAACGGAATGGCTAGAGAAGTTATTCTGCCCAAATTTGGATGACCATTGAGGCAACAAGGCCAGATGTTCTGCCCAGAGCTGAGTTTTGATCAATGGAGAATTTTGAGTGGTTCAAGGTGATGGGTAAAGCAAGTTCTTCAATCAAGATTGCAGTAACAATAGTCAGTGTGGGCTATAACTGATGGAGTTGCATTCATTCTGGAATTTCCTCATTCAAACTCTTTGGCCACAATGGGCTTCCAGATTCTTTAATATGAAAATAAAATTTATCAATTTTGTTCACTTATTTGCTTAGACAAAAGGTGGTGGTCTGTATGAACATACTGGAAAAGAGTACAAAACTGAGAATTCATGGTTCCATGTATTTTAATGATTTGTAAAAGCCTGGTTTGTACTGCAGTAGAATTAAGTAAAAGCTACTAAAACATCTTAGAATAGTTTATAGAAACACAGAATTGTAGAGTTGGGAGGGAACCTGACAGTCATCTAGTCCAACCCCCTGTGATGCAGGAATCTCAACTAAATCATACATGACAGGTGACCATCCAACCTCTGCTTGCAAACCTCTAAGGAAGGAGAGTCCACCACCTACCAAAGGCATCTGTTCCACTGTCAAACAGTTCTTACTGTCAAAAAGCTCTTCCTAATTTTTAGTCATAATCTCCTTTCTTGTAACTAGAAGCCATTATTTCAGGTCCTACCCTCCAGAGCAGGAGAAAACAAGCTTGCTTGGTCTTCCACGTGACAGGCCTTAAGACATTCAAAAATGGCTATCATGGCTCCTCTCAGTCTCCTTCCAGGCTAAACATACCCAACTCCTTCAACCATTCCTCATAAGGCTTGATTTCCAGACGCTTGATCATCTTGGTTGCACACATTCTCCTCTGCACACATTCCAGGTTGTCAATATCCTTCTTAATATTTTTTTTGCCGCTGCATCACAGTGTTGACCCATGTTAAGCTTCTGGTCTGCTAAGACCCTTAGATCTTTTTCACATTCAGATTCAATTCAGGAATCAAATGGAATTGAGAAACAAAATGAATTCAAAGCAAAGGTTTCATTATCAAAAATATAAGAATATTTGGAAAATAGCACATATCTATTCCTGTATCTCTATAGCTATTTCTCAAAATAAGCAAAAATGGTCAAACATTTGAGTGATTTCTTGGATAAAGTAGATATATAGTGGCCATCATTACTATTATTAATTTATTACCTACCCTTCATGCTAAAGTCACAGGGCAAGTTGCAGCATTAAAGACAATATTATAAACAATGGTTAAAGCACTTGTAGCTCATGTAGCCTGCTCATTTTCAAGTATAATTAACATACCAGTGATTGGTGGGGTGTGTGTTGGGGTGTTAGGGGAAGGGTAATACCTCGAGTGGGGACACATCATGCTCCTTCTGGGGTAGACTGTTCACCTTTGGCCCCAACCCTGCACTCACCTCTCACCTGTAGCTCCTAGAAGCTGTCACCATGCAACAGTGGCCACACCCCAGGAATGGATTCGACTGACTGGCTGAAGGTAGCTGATGGGTCTCACACCCTCAGTGAGTCTGGGACTTTTCCTGCATGCGAAGACAGGCTATGGTGGACTGAGTAGATGAAACCAACAGTGGGTCCAATGGTCAAAAGTACTGTTATTGTGCATGCTGTGTGGGGCAAATGAGTCTTTCAACCGGGGAAGGTAACCCAACTAGAAGAAGGAATCTCTGATCCTAAATCTCTGCTGTCTCTTGTGGGATATATTCAGGAGAAGAAAAGTCTAAGGAGTAAACCCTACAGAAATCCAGAGTGGAGTCACTAAGCAGGTTGGATAATGCCTTGTATGCCTCCTTTTGACAACTCCTGCAGCCAAGCTGGTGCTGAATGTATTGCTCTGCTTTGCTATGGACCACATTAGTGAGGCCAATATGGGGATCTTGTCATCTGAGCAGCCCAGGACATCCATACACACTGCCATGGAAGGTCACTTAGGTGCTGCTAACACAGTGGTGTGACTTCATCCCTGGAATCTCATTCCATTGTCTCTTGAGACAGACAGGAGCCAACAAATTATTTGTTAACTCTACATGTCAATGGACCAGCTCGTGTGTTTATACATGACAGTTGGTGTGTGTGACCGAATGGCAGCATAGGCAAGTTTAGGGTCTGCATTTATAGCTCTACACTTTCTTTAACTGATGAAATTTGAAGGTAGTCTAATAGTTGCTTTGAGACATATGATGAAAAGTGGGGTATAAATTTCTTAAATAAAAGAAAATGAAGTGATATACAATGATGACTGAAAGACTTAATATAAAAAGAGTAATTTTAACATCTGAAAATGTTGTCAGTGATATTTTCTTTGTATATGATGGAAATATGAGTGCATAAAATTATAGTGGAAGGGGACTATATGTTAATCCTATAATGAAAAATAATGAAACCCCCCCCCCCCAATTTTACTGTGGTGTTATATTCTCAAATACCAGCAGAGGTGCTGAAAACTGAAGGCATAACATGGGTGACCACTTTGGAACATATACTTTATCCTGAAGTGCATTTATTTATTGATTATATATTTATTTTCCTCCAAGATACTTGGGGTGGCTTACATGTTCTCACATTCTTGATTCTCAGAAAAAAACACAGTAAGAGCTTCATGACTGAGTACACATCTGAACCCAGGTCGTCTAAGTCCTAGTTGGACACGCTAACAGTTAAGATACTAACTATTACACTATATTGGTGGTTTAAATGCTTTTGTAATATAATGTAAGTGTTCGTGTAAACTGGTTTTGGAGAGCAGTCTCCATTATCAAAGGAAATAATAACCACAAAAACACACTTGTCAGAAGCAACTCATTTCTTGGAAAGATTTCACCCCCTCTTTCAAAAGACTGACAAATCAGAATACATCATTAAGAAAATGAATGGATAAATTTGTGTGTATGTGAACCATCACCCCGGGAAACTATTACTAACACGTTATGTTAAGAAATTTATATAATGAAGAACTTTTATAAAACATTGAAAATGAAGAGGAAAATCCACACTATGTAATCTCTATGAAGGCAGAACGAACACTTGCAGACTCTTGATGACTTCCATTTGCATGAAGTGTGACAAATATATCAACTTATTCCCGTAACAGTAATCCATGCCAGACATTCAAACAGCAGACAAAATGAAGGAACACAGTATTGTCTGCACTGAACATAGTCAGTCACACGGGGTCGCAATTGCCTAAACAATCCTATTGGAAACCTCTAAATACAGCTCTCTTCCTTTAAAAGGCATTTGAAGAAAAAAGACAGGAGACAACTGGATACGATTACATGATCCAGAGAGATTTCTATCAGTGATGCTACTCCCTGGTGTTCCCTAGATCACCTGGATCAGCTGCATTTGAAACAAACATCTTGGAAGCATCCTAATCTCAAATCTCCATGGTTATTATGCGGGTAGAATTCTGGGTGAGGAGGAGGCTGCTGCAGCTGGTTCTTCTCCACACAGCCTGGGAAATGGGGAGCGGCCAGCTCCATTATTCTGTGCCGGAGGAATCCCAGCATGGCACCTTTGTGGGCCGTATTGCCCAGGATCTGGGACTGGAGGTGAGTGAGCTGGTGCCTCGGCTGTTCCGGATGGAATCTCAAGGCCATGAGGACTATTTCAAGGTAAATTTGCAGAATGGGATTTTGTTTGTTAATTCCCGGATAGACAGGGAGGAGCTGTGTGGCAAGAGCCCTTTGTGCTCCATCCACCTGGAGGTGATTGTGGATAAACCCCTGAAAGTCTTCCATGTGGAAGTGGAGATTGCAGACATAAATGACAATGCCCCCATTTTCTCTGTCACAGAGCAAACATTGATTATTGCAGAATCAAGATTGCCATATTCTCCTTTCCCACTGGAGAGTGCTTCTGATGCAGATATTGGCAGCAATGCTCTGTTAACTTACAAGATCAATCCAAATGATTATTTCAAGCTGAATGTAGTAACAAATGAAGCCCACACTAAATCTGCTGGGCTAGAATTAAAGAAACCATTAGACAGAGAAGACATATCTGTGCACCATTTATTACTGACAGCCACAGATGGTGGTAAGCCAGAGCTCACAGGAACAGTCCAGCTTCTGATAAATGTATTGGATGTAAACGATAACGCTCCATTATTCAACCAATCTGTTTACAAAGTCAGAATACCAGAGAATCCAGTTAATGGAACACACATAATAACACTCAATGCCACAGACTTGGATGAAGGTATTTCTAAGGATGTTACTTATTCCTTTAGCAGCCTAGTACCTCCCAAAGTTAAACATACCTTCCAAATAAGTGAAAGCACTGGTGAAATCAAGGTTATAGGACCAATAGATTACGAAGACATTAATTTGTGGGAAATTCAAGTTGTAGCAGAAGATAAAGGCAATCCTCCTTTGGCTGGACACTGTCAAGTAGTAATAGAGATTCTAGACATGAATGACAACATCCCTCAGCTTTCACTGAAATCCCTGTCAGTGCCTGTGCCTGAGGACTCCCCACAAGGTACTATGGTGGCCTTGATTAGTATCTCAGACAGAGACTCTGGACCCAATGGGCAAGTGAGCTGCTCCTTGTGGCCTTCTGGGATTCCCTTCAAGTTGGTATCCACCTTCAAGAATTACTACTCACTGATGTTGGAAGAAACACTGGATCGGGAACAGATGGCTGAGTATGTGCTAGTGGTGATGGCTCATGATGAAGGGATTCCATCACTGTCAGCTAGCAGCACCTTGTTGGTGCCCATTGGTGATGTGAATGACAATGCACCTGCTTTTGCTCAGCCCTCTTACACGGTCTTTGTGAAGGAGAACAACCCGCCAGGTGCTCACATCTTCACAGTGTCTGCTTCAGACCCAGATGTGGCTGAGAACAGCCTGATCAGCTACTGGATCGATGAGAAGCTCTGGCCACTGACAAGCTACATCTCTGTTCATTCAGAGAGTGGGAAGGTCTATGCCTTGCAACCCTTGGACTATGAGGAGCTGAAGCTGCTGGAGTTCCAAGTGAGGGCCAAGGATGCTGGCCTGCCCTCCCTGTGTGGCAATGTGACTATTCAGGTCTTTGTGGTGGACGAGAATGACAATGCACCTGAAGTATCTAGGGCAGCAGAGTCCCCCATCATGTTGGTCGTCCCAATAAAAGCTGGACACACAGTGGGCAAGATCCATGCCCTGGATGCTGACTCAGGTTACAATGCATGGTTGCGCTATGAGATGCATGAAGCCAATAATGGCGCCTGGCGGGTGGGGCTTTACAGTGGTGAGATTAGCACCACACGTGCCCTGGATGAAGCAGCAGCCAGTGGTGGCAGCCAGAATATTTTAGTGTTGGTGAAGGACCACGGCAAGCCAGTGCTGTCAGCTACAGCCACCCTGAGTGTGTCACTTGTGGCGAGCACCCAGGCAGTTCAGGCTGATGCCCACCTTGTCAGGATGGGAGGGAGCCCAAAGCCCCAGGTGGAAAATGTCAACGTCTACCTGATCATTGCCATCTGCTCTGTGTCCAGCTTGTTCCTGCTGGTGGTCATAGTATACATCTCCCTGCGATGCCGTTGCCAGGCCAAGGAGGCCATGGTGTATGGTCCTGGCACAGCCACGCTGGTATGTGCCAGTGAAGTGGGCAGCTGGTCTTATTCAAATCGTCACAGCCACATCCTGGCAGGTGTGAGCGGGGAGGCTGGTGCCAAAAGTGACCTCATGGTTTTCACTCCAAATGTTCCTGTATTCGCAATGAATGGGGATGCAGGAAATGGAAAGGAGCTTATTTCAAATTCATCAGATGAGGTGAGTTATATGGAATCTTTATTCTCTCTTTGTTATACCTTCTTGGTGTGAAAACACTGAAGCGAAACGTGCTATTATGGAAAGCAGAGCTATCAAACATTTTGGGGCTTTATGTTAAAAAAATTAAAAAATTATGCCCAAAGTTTCTAACAAAGTTAAACCCTAAAATGTACATCATAAAAATGTAAAATTTTATATTGTAAACTGTTCTATGATCTTTGGATGAAGGGTAGTATAGAATTTTAATAAATAATAAAATAAAAATAAAAGAAGGTTAATCTCTGAAATAAAAATACCACAGAAAGCCAGAGACAAACCATCCAGTCAAGGCCAAAGCCCAGTAAGTAAAATAAAATCTGTGTGTGTTTGTTAGAAACTTCCAGAGTCAAGGAATGCTGCAACATAGATTATGCAACTTTGCTTTTTTTCTAAAAAAAATTAAATGTTTAGGTGTACTCTCATTTTCCTACTCATATTGAAATACTGCCCCTCAATGAGGCCAAACTTAGATTCACAAAATTTTTAGGGGTTTGCGTCCCCCTGCGTCCCCCCAGAAAAAAGCACTGGCCTTATATCTCTCTCCATTTCTTTCTTAAAAGTTATCCTCATTAACTTCCAGGTTTAAGGTAGGTACAGCAGTGTTTGTCTTTACATTTAAAAAGTGCAAAGTTTATTCATACTCATGATCTCTGGTGCACCTCCACTGAGAATATTGTGGAAATATGGGTGCAGGTTCTACTGTTCTTATTTGATAAAGGGGTGGTTGGATCCTGAAATAACACACTGTAGCTTGTCCTGTAAAGGTGGTCCTTTATAGGGTATTGTAAGGGAAAAGAAAAAAAGAAAAAAGGCACTCAGTCCTAATATCTGTGCAATGATGAGCTGAGGAACTCTCTTTTTGCGATTGGGGGTGGAGGGGGCAGGGAGTGTTGCATTCAATGTCCTTCTGCAAATGGGAAGGCTTCTGATTGGAGACCTCCCCAAATGGAATAGCAGAGGCAATTTTTGCCAATTCACTCTTTTTCCTACAGGAATTTGCACCATCTTCCACTCTGTTCTGGAAGGTCTTAGAATTCACAGGGACCTGTAGAGCAGAGGCCATATAAGTGAAAATGGCCTCCCTTTTTCCATTAGTACAGACCCACTAGGTCAATAACACTTCCACAAATGAAAGGACTCCTTTGTGGATGGACAATTATGTATGCAAACCTATAAACAGAACTTCAGTTACTCATGTCTGATGTATTTATTATAAATATCTATAAATATATATATTATGGGATGCCAGTTTGTGTAAAGATTAGATGGCAATGCAACTAGCCTGAGATTAGCATTGATGAACAATTGCTGTAGTGTTTTGCATTATTTTATTCAACAGACATAGAAGAAATATTTCGTATTGTGTATGCTCTAAAGCAAATTTATATTGTGTTAAGTGAATTTAATGGTTTTTTTTTAAAAAAAACACACCCTTCTGCCTGCTTTGTGTTCTGTCACTTCTACTGCCAAAGATAATTGTTCGATACTTCACTTCCAAATTGTTGATATCAGTGTGCCTTCTTTCTGAGTAAATAAGTTTACAACTGAGATATCATAGATAGCTTTATGAAAATAAACATAGGGCTTCTTCTAGGCATCCATTTTAGCATGTTGCTGTTCAGAAACCAGTTGTCTATGTGGTGCTAGGAGAACCAGGCACTGAAGTCATAAGTTCAGCAGCCCCTTGTAAATGCTTCAGATCTGCAGATCATTGGATGTACTGATTCTGTAGCTTGGGAGCTTAACCATCAGTCAGCCTTGTAGTTCCTTCTGACCCTTCCCTATGCAGAAAGAGCCTGGAACCAGGATATGTCATCAACTGCCAGAGCCTCAAAGATTATTCTAAAACACACCACAACATATCCTTAGAATAATAGTATGTTTGCGTATGTTTTAATTGGAAGCCACATTTGGAGCCAACATAGGCAGAAAAATTGAGTGAACATGTAAAATAAGAATACCGTACATTTAGGATAGTACAGTATCTAACTAAATCGTTCTCAGAATAGATCCATCAAAATCACAACTAACAAGATATTTCAATGGGTTTCTTCTGAGCAAGACTTAGTTGGATATCATTATTAATCTGTACAGATAGGCAGGAATAACAAAATATAGTGGGTGGAATTCAATGTTGGACTCTTCCAATCGTTCTCACAAGCATTCCAGCTTACCAAATGAATCAATAGCCCTCTAGTCCCACTGGCTCGCTGTTCTGGGAGTTCTGCTACCTCTCATAATTGAATTTTTGGAGGGGGGGGGGAGGAAGGGAAACCATACAAGTGGAAAGCCTTGCACAGGGCTTCCACTGATGGGGCTGGTTAGGTGAATCCTTGGCAGTGTATCTCAGATAATGGAGCAAACAGCAATCCTTTAATAAATTGCCAGAAATATGGAAGTAGCAATGAAAAGATCAGCCTAATCATCCAAAAAGGGCTACTGTGATTGCACAGTACTGTTGCACACACTGTAAGCAGACTGACTTTCTTGCAGGCAAGCTAATCTCTACTGAACCAGTACTGAATGAAAAGGATTATAAAAAAGTAGCTATATGCTTGCAGATGTTGAAAAGGATTTTGAGTGAGTAGAGTGGATTAGTATCTCTCTCTACAGAACTTTTAATGAGGGACTTTGCTTTTGAATTATGTAGTAAGTTTTTTTTTAATTTTATTGTATCTAAAAGAGCGTATAAGACTTATAAGTACAATTAAGTATATAACATAAACAATTACCACTAAATTATATAAAAATAAAGAAAGAAGAATATACACATGACATAAGTAATATACTACCATGATGCAAATAAATTATAAGGGTATATATTATCTTCATATTTATATTTCCAAATATAATAAAAATTGACATTGTTCTATAACTCTGTATATTTGCTCATTTCCCTCTCTCCTATTATACAGGTTTTTTTTAAATAATGCAACAATGTTCCAAATTATTTCAGACTTGTCTAGAATTGGTAGTACTGTGTTCTTCTTCCAAACTTTAGCAATAACTAACCTTACAGCAATCAGTAATTTTATTATTGTTTCAAAATCTGTCTCTGGTACAATACCCTCCAAAAAATTCAATAACTGTATTTAGAAATCATTTGGTAAGAAATATCCAGTTATTTCTGAGGCGAATTTTTGAGTATCAGTAATAATTCTGAATTACTGAGCAAAATGTACGTAAACAGCCTGCAAGATGATTGCTACATCTCCAACATTCATCTTATGTGGTTGGGTATATCTTAGTGCAGAACTTTCCAAACTGTGTGTCATGACACATTAGTGTGCTGGCTGCAGTGTGTAGGTGTGTCTTGTGAACACTCCCTGCTCTCCTCCCGGGGCTGGAAAAGGGTTAGTTTAACTTGCTAGTAAAACTGAATTACTGTGTCGTGAAATGATGCATGTCTAAAAAGTGTGTCACCAACCTGAAAAGTTTGGAAAGCTCTGTCTTAGAGAGTCTAAACTGAGTTAAATACCACTTAAATCCATAGATATAATTGAAAGGGAAATATCTACCCAAATCCAAGGTTACCTCTTTTAAGTCTCTGGCCCATTTCCTTATGAACGTTCCAGTTTTATTCTAAAGTTTCATAATTATGGAATGCATATTAGCAGTTCACAGTTTGATATTACAGTAGTTAGAATTTCAAATTCAGTTTCCTCCCTTGAGACACAATGTTTTCTTAGTAAACATAGAAATGCTTCTTTTATTAGAAAATGCTAATATAATTGTGACTGAAGACCACCCATAATTTTAATAACTTTTGTGTATCATTTAATTTCTTGCCTGGATATTTTGTTCTTAACACTATCCTCTTCTGTTTGATACCATAATGTCAAATCCCCTATCATCCTTTTTGTAAGTGATAGAAATATGTTATGAAATAATGTGCGGGGTGATAAAGCTGGAAAGATTTTCTTATTTAATTTATCCAACTTATTAGAGCACTGTGAACACATGGTACTTTACTAGCAAACTTTCCCGAATTCTCCTGGAACCATAGCATTGTCTTTGCCTCTTTAAAATAGTTTTCTGGTTGTGTGATCAGATACCACTCCAAAATAGATGTTAACTTTGCAGCATAAGACGTTTCCTATATTTGGAACTCCCATACTCCCCTGTTCAGTTTGTTTTACTGCAACAAGTGGATCCCTCCCCCATGCAACCCCCAAATGGATTAATGCCATATTTACAAAATGTGGGACTTGTAATGGAATACTCAAAAATAAATAGAAAATAGAAAATAGAAATTTTAGCAATTGCAGTACAACCCATCCAGGAAATTAGATCCAAAATCTTAATACTGATTCCATCTCCTGGTGCAATTTTTCATAATTGATTCTAATTAATTGTGACAAATTATGAAGAATCATTTAACAGGTTTAGATTACCAAGTTATATACACAGTTCCTGTTCATTCTTTTTTTCAACTCTTTATCTGAAGCTAGGCCTATCTATTCAGATTTTCTAGAGTTTATATATTGATATTTTACCCATATGTATCTCATATCTTTTAAAATGTCTATAAGAAGTATTAAGGATGCGCTAATGTTTAAAAGATGTCATCCATTATGAGCAAGATTTTTTTTGTATGAATTACCCCATATTACATTTAATACATTTCAAATTCTTCTCTAATTGCTATAATTGCTCTAACTTAATAATTGATCAAATTTAATGTAATTGCTTTAATTGTTTGATAGCTAAAACAAAAGAATAGAGGTAAAAATGGGCATCCTTGCCTATTTATTCTGCACAGTGAAAAAAGATCTAAGAGACAGCCAGTCATCTGTCCCTGTGCTGTTGGTGTCTGATATAAAAGTTGGATCTAGGACCTGAAATTTAAACCCAGTCTGAAATAGTTCATAACCTCTATCAGATATTTCCACTCCACTCTATCAAAAGCCTTTTTGGCATCAAAAATAACAGTACAGATGTTAGTTTTTCATCTTATTATCATATTAATAATGAAAAGGTTATTTTCATATTAGTTTATCATTTTCTGTCTCTCAAGAATCCAGTCAATATGTATGTACTTCACAATGATGGCTATTACTTTTTCTGCAATATTACAGAACTAGATTTTCACACCTTGGTTTAACAATGAAATAGATCTATAAGATTCCTGGTTTGCTAGGTATTCATTAGATTTAGATATCATGGTGATTCTTGCCATATCCCACGAGCAAATATTTGTCATTTAAATATTAATTATAATCAGTCTTACATATGATAAATAAAAGGGAGCCTCTAGTTTTCTCTGGATATCATTAGATATTTTTGATATATTTAAATTTCTTTAAAATCATTAATGCTTCACTAATTCAGGTTACCTGCCATAATTATGTATCCATTATAAAATCTATCTAATTGAATCTATTTTTTAAACTGAATATTCCTTGTGAGTTATGTGGACCATATATAAATACTAACATGTTCTTCCCCCATCATCTCTCAGTATTTCTTGATTAACCCATTTTTAACTAATACCACTACTTCTGAAGCAGTGAAGACTTGCCCTAATCTAATTTCATTCAGATATTTTCCCTGCTTTTAACTGTATTTCTTGCAGAAATATAAAACCTGCATTTTCTGAACAAAATTTTATTGTAAATTTCCAACATTTCAAAGCAAAGTTCAGCACCTTTACAATCAATGAGAGAGTTCTTACTGAATTTGCTTTATGGTCATTTAACAATTAAAACAAAGCACTAACAAGGAGAAAAAAGTGAACCTTATTCTCACTAATTATTTTATCTTCTTCAGATTTATTAGAGTTTACTGATCTGATATAGCTTGTTCCTTTGCTTCCTTCAGAGAATCTTGCTCAGCTCTTCCCCCAGTATTATTTATTTGTCTTCTCTGGTTTTCTTTCTTCTTAAATTAATTTTTTATTCTGATTTTGTTGTATTCATTTCTGTGGCTGTTCTCTACCGGTAACATTATCTGGCATGGAAATTTCCTCTATATATGCTTTCAGCTGTAAAGCTTCCTTCCCTGTCTTAATCTTAACCTCTTTTGAAAACAAACAAACAAAATAATTAACTTAAAAGGGGACAGAGCGAGCAAGCAAGAGAGCTGGCCATTGATGTACAGTGGTACCTCGGGTTAAGAACTTAATTTGTTCTGAAGGTCCGTTCTTAACCTGAAACCATTCTTAACCTGAGGTACCACTTTAGCTAATGGGGCCTCCCGCTGCTGCTGCGCCACCGGAGCACGATTTCTGTTCTTATCCTGAAGCAAAGTTCTTAACCTGAGGTACTATTTCTGGGTTAGCGGAGTCTGCAACCAGAAGCATCTGTAACCTGAAGTGTCTGTAACCCGAGGTATCACTGTAAGAAACTTAAATTCCTTTTCCTTCAAAGTAGCAGGATGAATAATTAAATTGACCAAGATGACTTTATCTTAAGTTGCTTTTCTTAAATTGCTGAGGCCAGTCTTGATTTTACTTTCTCTTCTGAAACAACTTCAGTACCAATTGTACATAATCTATCAAGCTGTATGTAATTTGATAGATGTTATTCTAAAATGGTGACTATGTCCTCCCTTTCTAGGTATTCTGGGAGGCTTCTAAGTTTTTAATTCTTCTTGTGTTGTTCCTGGGTTGTCTCCTCAAATCATGTTTACTGACTGTGAGAGCTATATTTTCTGTCTTTTGCTTTCACTTCTCACAATAGTTTAAATTCTGTCTTTGTTGTTTCCATTTTTTCTATTTTCATACTAATGGCTGCAATTCCCTTTTCCATATCAACCACAGCCTTTTCAGTATTGTTCACTTTTCCTACAACTAATTGTAGGGAATTCCTAATTGTTTTTGAGTATATTGAATGTTTGAAAAGTAACTAATATGTAAAATAATATTTAAATACCTTCTAGTGTTATGAGTTCTTAATATTGTTTTGCATGTTTCCATATTTATAGTAATAATTTAAAATATTTTCATCTCCTGCTGAGTCAAATTCTGAGCCTTGCAATTTTACTGTTTACCTCTTTTATATTTAATCACAATTTACCTTTGGGTGGAAAGAAGATAAATTGAATTACCCAAAGCATAAGAAAGTGCAGAATGCTTTCACTTTGTCTCTCATCTGCTTCTCCTCTTTGTAATTCCTAAATTAAAATTGCAACACAAGAGAAATAGTGCTTCTGCTCCTTTAAATAGGATCTTTTAATTACTTTGTGATGACTGTACCAGGTTTAACTTCTTGTGAGGTAGGTCAGTCATTGAGACAAGTGAAGCAAGAACAATGTCCAAGAAGATGAAAATGCACCTTGGTTAAAAGTATCTTGGAGCACATTTGCCAGGACAGTAAATGAAACCTGTTGGGTTTCATGACTAACTGTTCCCATTGATTTCAGTGCCACTTAGGTGTGTCTAAGGCTGCAGTCCTGTACCCATATACTGGCAGTAAGCCCCATTGAACTTGGTGGGTAGACCCTGACAGTGAAGGCAGGGGTGGGTTTGTCAACCCCGTGTTAGTATCATATAATGCAGTCCCACCATCAGAGTTCTAGTATTAGGGGAGCTATTCTATTTGTGAAACTAACAAAAGCCCTAAATGACGGTTCTTAACTTTTTTTAAAAACGGCAAAATATGCCACCTGATCCTATGCATACTCACTCAGAAATGAGCCCAACTGTGCTAAATGGTGATTGATGCCAGGTAAGTCTTTATGGGTGCAATCTCAGGCCCTATGGACTCTTATGTATGCTTACGATTGCAATCTGCTGTTGATTTTAAAAGAACTTGCTAGAACTAGAAGCACTATCCCACCTTTTTATTGGCTGAACTAGAATTTTTATGCAAACATGAGCAAATGTTGTGTAAAGATTAAGCACTGCTTCCCCTCCCATTTCTCTGCTCAAGAGTCCAGCATCATCTGCAAGGCCCATCACATTGCTGTGTAATGTCTAGTGTGCATTGTTGTTTCCCTATATAACTCATTCAGTGTCTACTCCTCTCAACTCTTGAGAGTTACAGGCTATTAAGCATGGAGTTGCATGGTAGAGGTTGCTGGAAAGTGTATGAAAAGAGAGGGCTACATGCCCTCTCTTTTCATACACTTATATAACAGGCACTTTGATCTTGAAAAATACATGACACTTTCCCCCAATAAAAGTATAAGAGCATAATCAAGTGTTGTATCACTTCAATATCAATTGGTGAATGAGCCTTCATGGATCTAACACAACTGGCAGAACTTTCTTATCACTTGGTATCAGCACAAGTGCAACACTTCTTGGAGGAGTCAGTCCACCCATTCAGATATAAGCTGTTACGATAACTGAGTGTGCAACAGTAATGTTGTAATGTGAACCACCACATTAGAAGTATGAATGGACTTTAATAACTTCAGTTGAAAGTAGAAGTGCATAAAATCTCTGAAGAACAGGCACTTATCACAAAATGTTTCATAGTTTAGTCACCTGCTTCTCTGCTTCTCCATTTCTACAATCATTCGCTAGAGGTCACTGTTGCCTAAGGAAATATTTAAGAAGAAAGAACATTCAGAGCTCCTCCCTCAGAGTGACTGAAAACCCTGCCTGTCAGATTCACAATGGGGCTATCAAGCACAGAATGCAAGAGCACCGGCGTCTATTCAAATGACTTCACAAATACCAATTCAGATGGGCTCCTTGGACTCTGCTCTACACTACATTAAAGAAAAGGATTTATAAAAAGAAAGGAAGGAAGGAAAGAAGGAAGGAAGGAAGAAGACAACAATTTGTGGCTATGCTTGCAATGGTTGCCTGGCAGAATGATTCGGTGGCAAAGCAGCTCCTGCAGCTGCTTCTCCTCCATGCAGCCTGGATGATGGGGAGCGGCCAGCTCCATTATTCTGTGCCGGAGGAATCCCAGCATGGCACCTTTGTGGGCCGCATTGCCCAGGATCTGGGGCTGGAGGTGGAGGAGCTGGTGCCTCGGATGTTCCGGATGATGTCCAAAGGACAGGAGGACTATTTTGAGGTAAATGTGCAGAATGGGATCTTGTTTGTGAATTCCCGGATAGACAGGGAGGAGCTGTGTGCTAAGAATCTTGAATGTGCCGTTCACCTGGAGGTGATTGTGGACAAACCTCTGAGGGTTTTCCATATAGAGGTGGAGATCAGGGACATAAATGACAATGCCCCCATTTTCTCTGCAAGTGAACAAATTCTGAGCATAGCAGAATTTATAATGGCACCTGGCACCAGATTCCCTTTAGAGGGAGCTTCTGATGCAGATATTGGCACTAATGCTCTGCTAACCTACAAGCTCAGGCCCAATGACTATTTCATTGTAGAACAGAAAACAGGTGACCAGCACAATAAACCCTTAGCAATTGTTTTAAAGAAGCCATTGGACAGGGAAGAGGCTCCTGTGCACCGTCTTTCACTCACAGCCACTGATGGAGGCAAACCAGAGCTCACAGGCACAGTCCAGCTGGTGATTAATGTGCTAGATGCAAATGACAACCCTCCTGTATTTAACCAATCAGTTTACAAGGTAACATTATTGGAAAATGCAGCTACTGGAACATTGGTTATTAAGCTGAATGCCACTGATTTAGATGAAGGAATTAATAAGGAGATCTCCTATTCTTTTACTAACCATGTGCCACTAAATTTCCAAAAGATTTTTACCATAAATTCCAATACCGGGGAAATAATGGTAAATGGAAGAGTTGATTTCGAAGACATTAGTGTATATGATCTTCAGATTGTGGCAGAAGATAAAGGCAACCTTCCGTTGTCTGGACATTGCCAAGTGATAATTGAGGTGCTGGATGTGAATGATAATGCCCCAGAGGTGTCAGTCTCATCCCTCTCTGTGCCAGTGCCAGAGGACTCCCCACTGGGGACAGTGGTAGCCTTAATCAGTGTCTCAGACAGGGACTCTGGGGCCAATGGCCAAGTAAGCTGCTCACTGTGGCCTCCTGGGCTTCCCTTCAAACTGGCGTCCACGTTCAAGAACTACTACTCATTAGTAGTGTCTGAACTCCTGGATCGGGAGCAGGTAGCTGAGTATAAGTTGATGGTGATGGCCCAGGACCAAGGTGTTCCACCACTGTCAGCTACTGGTAGCTTATTAGTTCCAATTAGTGACATAAATGACAATGCACCCACTTTCGCACAACCCTCCTACACGGTCTTTGTGAAGGAGAACAACCCACCTGGTGCTCACATCTTCACAGTGTCTGCTTCAGACCCAGATGTGGCTGAGAACTCCTTGGTTAGCTACTGGATCGACGACAAGCTCTGGCCATTGACAAGCTACATCTCAGTGCACTCGGAGAGTGGGAAGGTCTATGCCTTGCAACCCTTGGACTATGAGGAGCTGAAGCTGCTGGAGTTCCAAGTGAGGGCCAAGGATGCTGGGCTGCCCTCCCTGTGTGGCAATGTGACTATTCAGGTTTTTGTGGTTGACGAGAATGACAACGCACCTGCAGTGTCAGGGACAACAGAAGAGAACCCCATTCTCCTGGTGCTTCCTATGGGGTCTGGGCACACAGTGGGCAAGATCCATGCCCTGGATGCTGACTCAGGATACAATGCATGGCTGCGATATGAACTGCATGAGGTGACAAGTGGACCATGGCGTGTGGGCCTGTATAGTGGAGAGATCAGTACCATACGTGCTGTAGATGAGGCAGAAGTCAGCAGAAGTCAGAGCCTGCTGGTTTTGGTGAAGGATCATGGGAAGCCTCAACTCTCAACCACAGCCACATTGAGTGTGTCACTGGTAACCAGTGCGCAGGCCATCAAAACGGATACCCGCCTTTCCAGGACAGGTGAAAGCCCAAAGTCTTTGGTGGACAATGTCAATGTCTACCTGATCATTGCCATCTGCTCAGTGTCCAGCTTGTTCCTCCTAGCAGTAATCTTTTATGTGGCCTTGCGATGCCGTTGCCAGGCGAAGGAGGCCATGGTGTATGGTCCTGGTACAGCCACGCTGGTATGTGCCAGTGAAGTGGGCAGCTGGTCCTATTCAAATCGCCACAGCCACATCCTGGCAGGTGTGAGTGGGGAGGCTGGAGCCAAGAGTGACCTTATGGTCTTCAGCCCCAACATTCCTTCTTTTGCTGATAATGGGAAGCAGCAGGACCTGCTCTGTGCAACGGTTAGTATCTGACTTGGTTTCTTCTGTCTCTCAGCCATTGTTCAGTCTCCATAACGTTGAATAAGAATATATCCTAGTTATTCAATATTGAATTTGAAATTTTCTTTGTTGAACTTAATTTTGTAAGCGTCCACATTGAATTGCAAATGGATAGTTTATGAGAAACACGTATTCCCCCCTCTTCAATTCAATTTTACTGGTGTTTTCTTCCTGAGAAATATTTTTATTTGTTTATTGAATAAGTATACACTTAAAATAATAAAAGTTACTAAATGACTAACATAAACTTAGTAAAAATGCAGTAGCATTCAATAAAATATTCCTAAAAGCTGGTTAAAAATTAAATAAAAACATAACACAACTGTATGTGTCACATAAAACTGAGCAGTGTGCAAAATAACTTTTTTAAAAAATTGAGTCAGAGCCCAGGAAATATTGGACAAATTTAAAAGGAGGAATTTAAAAGTAATCACTTCCTCCACCTGAGAGATGCTGTTCAGAGGGTGGGTGCTATCACAGAGAGGGCCATTGTAGTGATCACACAGCGTCCCCAGACATTTGACGGTCTATTGACCCTGTGCCACCACTGTGATTGCTTTCTTCACTGCCACCAACCCGTTTCTCACGGGTAATCACGGAGTCCAGACAGTTGTTAACACTAACAAATAATCAAGTTTATTTATAGGCATGAACAAGCTTATGGTTTCAGTTAATTTTCCTTGGTAGTTTCTTAATCTTAATTCCTTAACTGTCCTATGCGTTCCTAACAACTTCAAACTGATTATTCCAACTATCTATCTGACTCCACCTAACAATTCCTCTCCCTCCCTCACAACACAACTCAACCCAACCCAACCAACCCACAGACTTATTCTCCCTCTTTCTTCAACTCCCAACTCTCATAGAATCATAGAGTTGGAAGAGACCACAAGGGCCATCGAGTCTCTCAACTGACTTTCACACAACACCCACTCTCACTCTAACTCCTCCTATCAGTTTCTCTCTGGCCAATCACATCACACTCATTTTAACCCTTTCCTTATGACCCACCTAGGAGGCAAACGCCACAGCCATCTTCTGCATTGTCACCAAGTGACTATTCACTGGTCAGGAGATCTTAGATTGGCTTGGGCTGTACTTGGGGAGGTGGCCTGACAGGCGACTTTGTTCAAAGTTATTTAGAGCGGTAAATGTCAGCAGAAAAACCTTGAACTTGGCTCAGGAGTTAATAGGCAGCTAGCTGAGATATTTCAGCATTGGTGAAATATTTTTAAAGTTAGGTGTTCCACAAAGCACCCAAGCAGCTTCATTTTGAAATAGCTGTGCCTTCCAAATCAGGCACAAGAGTAGCTCCACGTGTAGTACAATACAGTTATCTAATAATGATATTAGATGTATGGGCCACTGTAGCAAAGCTATACCAGCTAAGTTGTTAATGGATGATCTGAGGCCAACTGGGCCCCCAGTTATAGTGGTGGATCTAGAACACCTCTAACTATGTACTTGCTGCCTTTAGGGGAGTGAAATCCCATACATAGGTGGTACACAACCCAATTCTCAGACCTGGAAACCACCAATCCATAGGATCTCCATCTTGTCAGGATTCAGTCACAGTTTATTAGTCTTCATTCAATCCGTAAGTGCATCCAGGGATCTGTTTAGGACACACACAACTTCCAACTTCAGCTGTCACAGAGTTGTGTCTCATCAGTGTACTGGCTCCAAATCTCCCAATGACTATCCCCATTGGTTTCATATAGCTATTAAATAGCATTGGGGAAGAAATTGTGTCCTGTGGGATTCCACAGATCAACTGCCATGGGGCTGAGGCACAGTCACCCAATATGATTCTGGAACTGGCCCCACAAGTAGAAGTGGCATCACCATTAAACAGTGCATTCAGTCCTCAAAACATGGAGGTGGTCCAGGAGGACACTATGGTCCATGGTATCAAAAGCCATGGAGAGATCCAGGAGAATCCACAGAGTCCTATTTCTTTGTCCTTTTCCCAAAGGAGGTAATCTGTTAGGGCAACCATGACTGATTCTGTCCCCAAATCAAGCCTGAACCCAGACTGGAACGGGCCAAGATAGTTCCACCCAAGAGCACCAGAATTCTTAATATGATGCCTTATTTACAACATTTATTGCCAATGCATTAGTTCTAGAAATTAGTAGTTTACTTCTAAGTAAGAATGCATAGGATTGTAGCAATGATCACAAAAGTGGAAATGCTTCACAGTAAACCACAAACCAAATATTCAATCTACTTCATTATTTTATTTATTTACTTACCATTATTTATTGGCTATCCTATACAACAAAGTCCTCAGGGCAGGTCATAGCAAGCAATTAAAACATTTAAAATTCAACAACAATAAAAGTGTATATATGTATATATATATATACAGCATAAAAACACAAGTCCGAGTCAAAAGCAGTGCCTTGATTAATGGGAGGCTGGGGTTCAGTTATTTGTATCAGAATTGGATAAGGATCGCACCAAATTTCGAATGTTCTAGAGGACAACAAGCAGGAGTATGAAAAGTCTTGAAGGAAATCATATATAAACGAGAAGGAAGAAACTGCTTATGGTTGTCAAAACAAAATTTAATCTTATTTTGTTAGATTGCCTGGACAGATTATGGAATCCATTTCAAATGAAGCTTTCAAGAAACATCCCTGCTTCTGGGCAGACAACTCGAGGCTATTAAGACATCCAACTATATATAGACAACTCACATAAAGGGAAGACCTTGTGCAAAGTATAGACATGCAGGCTTGGTTGCTCCCCGCCAAAAAAGTTGCTAGTTGCACACAGACACCATGTACAGTTTTGTACAGCATGTGCAGACATAACACAGAGGGCTTGGTGATCAGTGGTGTGGCTTGCCACAATGACACTACAATCCTGTTCTCTTCAATCCATATTCATCGTACACAGATTGAAATCTGCATAGCGCTTAGATCAAATTATCTTAGTTGTAGGAAGATTATTTGCTTTTATTTCTTTATAGTGATTTCTTTCTAAGATTATTTATACCAACATTGTTTAAATGCCCGTGGAATGAATAGTTCAACAACAGTTTCAGTTTATTTGGTCTATAGACCAAAACACATCAGATACAGTCTATTGTATTTACCAAGGTTGCTAGGATAGACATAGCAGAGTGAAAAAAGGACAATATACTAGCAAGCAATTTGGAACAACACAAAGCACTTTGACTTGAAACTCGGGTTCCTTTTAATAATTGTGACCTGGTTTGATGGCTACAGCAAGGAACTTGGCTATACTTCCTGTGACCATAGGGTTGGAATCTGCCATTAAAACTGAAACATGGAATTCACCTGAGTTCCCCAAGTGTAGAGAAAGTACCTGAAGATAAACTGTGATATTTATTCTGTGAACTGCCCTGAGATCTTACGATGAAGGGTGGTATATAAAAACAAACAAACAAACAAACAAACAAACAAACAAACTCTATGAACATTATAATATAACAGAACATTGGCTACTATTTCATCTGAGCTGCTTTCACAAGGGCAAGATTGCCAAGGCAGCCTTGTGAATTCACCTTCCATAACTGCTGATGGCAAAGCATTGAACTAGCCACTCTTTAGTTAATGTTGCTATATGCCTAGCAGGCTGATAATCACCACTATGTTGTAGACCAAGGTACAGTGCAGTGGTGAGCCAACCCCATTTGGTAGAGTTGATAAACAAAGCCCTAGAAGTGGTGTAGCCAGTTTTTTCTAACCCAAGTGGCAGAAGATGGTGTAGAAAATAGTGAGAGCTGTTAACTTAGTCGTTAACAAATTTCAGCCAAGAGCAAGCATAATCTTCAAGCAAAGCCAGAGACAGGTAGCCCACATCTGTTGAGGATAACTGCACATGAAGCCAGTAACCAATGGCAAGGGACAATGCTATTTTTTCCCTAAGTCTACTTACTCTTTTGGTATGCAGGCATTGTGGGCTGGTGATGTCTCATTTCACTGGGATCCGGATGTGAGGGCGATCTGGCTGCGACATCTGTCACCCCATTGATCACCAGGGTTGATTCGGTTGATCTGGCTGGCTAGGTGGGTTTCCCCTTCCTCCCTCACCACTCCATGTGTGTCCCTCCTGAAGCTGCACGCTCGGTGGAAGAGGATGACAATCCCAGATAGAAGGAGTGTACCATTTTTTGGTCAAGGGTATATGATAGCTACACTCCCCTGCTATAACCTCCAAACAAGCTCAAGGTCCATCTCACTGGGATCCAACAGGGCTCAGGTTGCTGGGTACTGCCCTGATGAGTGACTAGGATTTCAGATCTAAGCTTGCCCTGCAAAATTGGCCAATGGCAGGCAGACTTGGAGGCAAGGTCCCCCTTGGGGGTGGGCCTGATGGAGCACGTAGACTTCCCTCCGCTCTACTCCCAGGGTACTTAAGGAGGCCTGCCCCAGTCCCAGCACCTGGGTTTGAGTTAATAGGTATGCACAATATCTCCATTGTTCAACTGCCACTCTGAATGAATGCGGTCAAGAATTGGTTCTGTGAAGAAGTGATTATTACTTTTTTGAAAGGCAACTTGGAAATTCCATTGAATGTGATTTCTAGACAATTGTATACAAATAATCTCTTATGTTTGCCTACTAAAGACAACCACATCTCCATGTGGTAAGGTTTTCTACTGCATATTTATTTTGTCACCTGTATTAAAAAAAGAGGGTAATAATTTTTCCCCCTGGAGCAAATTCCAATGTGTGTTGGGAGCCTTATCACATCACCACAGTTTTTGATCTGTTTTAGTATTTGTGACAGGTGACATGAAGTAAGAATACTTTCCCCCTAAACTATAGTGTCTCTTGACTAGAGTGGTCTCCCAAGGAACAGCTTCCCTTCCCTAATTTTTCCTCTATGACTTCTAAATCTGAAATTTAAGATTTTAAATCCAAATTTGAGAGGGTTTTCAGTTGGGGGAACTTTTATAAAATAACAAAACATGCATGGATAATCTAAATTAAGAGAAAGAGCTGGCTTCAAAGGCTTAATAGCACAGTATCACAGGACTCCAAAGGTTTAAAAGCAAGGCAAGCTTGTTTAAAAAACTTGAACTTGCTCCTGATAATGAAAGTAACTCTACCATTGAGCCGAAGCACAATCTCTTTACTCTAGGTAGGAATGGAACCACTATAAAACAGTGCCTCCTATACCTAAGCTAGCAATGTCCATTACTTTAAATGGGTCTACTCTGAGTAGGACCAGCACTGTAAAATAGAAACGGTACAAAGAGCTGTATGGTTAATAGTTACTCTTCTGAAGGAATAAGCCATTATATATTTTAAAATTCCCATACTTAGTGGAAGATCTTTCTGTTCTTATTTTAAGAAGCCTAGTTTACCTGGAGTTCCAAAATTACTATTTTTAAAAACATTTAACATTATGTAGCAGAAGAATACATTTATTCTACTAGTCAGAAGAAATACTGTGCAACCAAAAACATTTCAACACAAGGGGGAGCCATTGACTAACAAGACCATTTCTGAAAGGACACGCTCCTCCCTCTGACTAGATAAAAAATCTGCCTCTTCCTACATTGGAAAACCTTCGATCCTCAGTGTAAAAGGACCGGCATTGACTCCTTTCTATCCAGGTCAGTCAACATTTGCTCAGTTATAGCCAGGTAATTTATAACAGATCAGATCAGTACTTGCATTTGCTATGCCTTTTCTGCAAAGAGATTTCCAGGTGACAATGAAGCTGCTGCAGCTGATTGTGTTCCACAAAGCCTGGTTGATGGGGAGCGGCCAGCTCCATTATTCTGTGCCAGAGGAATCCCAGCATGGCACCTTTGTGGGCCGCATCACTCAGGATCTGGGGCTGGAGGTGGGAGAGCTCATGCCTCGGATGTTCCGGATGGTTTCCAAAGACCACAAGGATTATTTAGAGGTAAATGTGCAAAATGGGATCTTGTTTGTTAGTTCCCGGATAGACAGGGAGGAGCTTTGCAGCAAGAATCCTGTGTGCACCATTCACTTGGAGGTGATCCTGGATAAGCCCCTGCGGGTTTTTCATGTGGAAGTGGAGATCAGGGATATAAATGACAATGCTCCTGTTTTCTCTGAGGGCGAGGAGATTTTGAGTGTCGCAGAGTCAACACTGCCAGGTGCTCATTTCCCTCTAGAGGGAGCCTCAGATGCAGATGTTGGTGCTAATGCTCAACTGAAGTACAAGCTCAACTCCACAGAATATTTTGTTGTTGAAGAGAAAATCAACGACAGGCACAGTAAATCATTAGTGCTTGTGTTAAAGAAACCTGTGGACAGAGAAAAAATCCCTGTGCATCGTTTAGTGCTAACAGCTACTGATGGGGGTCAACCAGAACTCACAAGCACAGTGCATCTTGAGATCACTGTGATTGATGCAAATGACAATGCACCTGTATTTAATCAATCTGTTTATAAGGTGAAACTGTTAGAAAATGTGGCAGATGGAACATTGGTTATTCATCTCAATGCAACTGACTTAGATGAAGGAAGTAACAAGCAAATCACCTACTATTTCAGTAAGCATGTTTCTCCCAATGTAAAAAAGACATTCAGTATAGATTCAGTTACAGGTGAGATTAGGGTAAAAGGAAAAGTGGATTACGAAGATATCAATCTGTATGATATTGAAATTGAGGCGAAAGACAAAGGAACCCCTCCTCTCTCAGGGCACTGCAATGTCATCATAGAAATAATGGACGTAAATGACAACATCCCAGAAGTATCAGTGACATCGCTATCAGTACCTGTGTCAGAGGACTCCCCACTGGAGTCGGTGGTGGCCCTAATCAGTGCCTCAGACAAGGACGCTGGCACCAATGGACAAGTAAACTGCTCTCTGTGGCCTCCTGGGCTCCCCTTCAAGCTGGTATCCACTTTCAAGAATTACTACTCACTGGTGCTAAATGAACCTCTGGATCGAGAACAGGTTGCAGAATACAAACTAGTTGTAACAGCAAGAGACCAAGGGGATCCATCCTTGTCAGCCAGCAGCACCCTGGTTGTGCCCATTGGTGATGTGAACGACAATGCACCTGCTTTTACTCAGACTTCCTACACAGTTTTTGTGAAAGAGAACAACCCACCTGGTGCCCACATCTTTACGGTGTCTGCCTCAGATCCAGATATAGCTGAGAATGCTCTGGTCACCTACTGGATAGATGAGAACCTCTGGCCACTGTCAAGCTACATCTCGGTACACTCAGAAAGTGGGAATGTCTATGCTTTGCAGCCCTTGGATTATGAGGAACTGAAGCTGCTGGAGTTCAAAGTGAGTGCAAAGGACGCCGGATTGCCCTCCTTGCACAGCAATGTGATGGTGCAGGTCTTTGTGGTGGATGAAAATGATAACGCCCCAACAGTATCTGGGCCAGAGAACACTCCCATCTTGCTGGTGATCCCTTTGGTTGCTGGACAGATGGTAGGCAAGATCCGTGCCCTGGATGCTGACTCAGGCTACAATGCATGGCTTCACTATGAGCTGCATGAGTCAACTAGTGGTCCTTGGCGGGTGGGCCTATATAGTGGGGAGATCAGCACCACCCGTGTTTTGAATGAGATGGAGGGTGATGCTGGGAGCCAGAATCTGCTGGTACTGGTGAAGGATCATGGCAAGCCAATGCTGTCAACCACAGCCACCCTGAGTGTGTCACTGGTGGTCAGCGCTCAGGCCATCCACACAGATGGCTACCATTCTAGAGCAGGAGGGAGCTCAAAGCCGCTTGAAGAGAACAAAAATGTCTACCTGATCATTGCCATCTGCTCAGTTTCCACATTGTTTCTGCTGGCAATCATTGTGTATATGGCTCTGCGATGCCAGTGTCAACCCAAGGAGCCCGTGATGTATGGCCCTGGCACAGCCACACTGGTTTGTGCCAGCGAAGTGGGCAGCTGGTCCTATTCAAATCGCCACAGCCATATCCTGGCCGCTGCAACTGGGGAGCCTGGTGCCAAGAATGACCTCATGGTTTTTACACCCAATATCCCTGCCTTTATGGAGAATGGAGAGCTTGGGACTGGGAAGGAAATGACTCCAACCTCATCTGGACAGGTAAGTCTCAGGAGATGGCTTTCCTTCTTTAATTTTTCTATATTGTTTTACTAAGTCAGCATCTACATACAAAAGAAATATCCAGCTGGAGACTTACTGTAGAGAATGAGTTCACGCATAATTAAAAGTATCAGTGTGTTTTCTGGTCTCCCATTCTCATCCAGGAGAGGTATTCCAGAAGGATAACATGGCCAGTTGTTTAAAAATTGCTGAAGGTTCAGGAGAATCATGCGTTGCACTTCTATTGTCCCTCTGCTGGTAAAGGTGGTCCGCCAGAATGACCAAGACAGTTTAATTGAAATTGCCTGCTTGCATCAGACCTTAGGTTCATATAGGTCAATATTATGTTTCTAGCAGCAGCTAAGCAACTAAATCTGGGAAGCTTATAGGCAGTGCACAAAGGAGACCTACTGACTTATTATTTGTCCCTATCACAGAGATATACTGCTCTTTAACATAGAGTCTTCATTTAGATATCAAGCTTAATAGTTTTGATAGATCTATCTCTTTTGAACTTGTCTAATCCTTTTTCTAAAAGCTACCTAAGTGAATGCCATATTTAAATATTTGCTTTGTTGCAAAAAAAGAGTTCCTGTCAAGTGATTTTACTGGGTAATGGGAGAATGGGGGGAAGGGGAACCTCTCATAAATTATGCCAGCACTTAATTATCCTTTTTAATCAACTAAAAATCCTCAAATATGTAGCCTGGCTTGGGGTGTGGGAAGAAGATTGTTAAGAGTGCAATTCTAATCCTCAGTCCATGCCACTGGAGCAGTTAGGATGAGGTGCTGCATCCAAGAGAGGAGGAAGTTGTTGGCCGATTAAACCCTGAAGCAGGGTATTTCAAGGTTGAGATAAGGTATCTGAAGCTTCAGATCTGATGGATCGAAAGCCTTGCAGAGCCCTTGAGGGGCCCAGTCTTCAGGCCCTCCAGCAGCACCAGCCTGGATTTTGTGCAGCAGAAACTGAAACAGGACCACCCCCTACCTTCTCTCCTGGCCAGTGCCAGCTGGCAGGACTTCAGGTGTGGCAGTGGGTCTTCAGTTGCACTGCTCCCTGGTATGGTTTCAATTGCTCCGTAAGGCAAGGGATCCAATGTTGAGTGCAGTGGGCAGGCTGGTTCATGTGACATGGGATGGTCCCTCTAATATTATGGTACCAAACTATCTAGGGCTTCAAAGAAAATAAGTAACACTTCTAGTGGTGCCCAGAAACTAGCTGGGAACCAATACAGATAGTATAAAACTGGAGAAATGTGCTCTGAGAAGGAAATTTCAAATAGGGCTCTGGCTTCTGTGTTTTGCCTTGTACACATACACACACTTTGGTAGAAATATGGTGTGAATCTAATATTTTTTTCAGAATTTTAATATTTGCCTTTTTGGTGAAATATTAGTTACGCTGTATAAACAATTATTTGTGCTGCACAATCCATGATGAGATCTGAATTATATTTCTCAGACAAGAAGTGAATTGCCTGTGTGATTGTGAAATGCACCATGAATTCATGTTGTTTTTCATTTACTTTGTGAGTGCTTGGTAGTTTGAGGGTTTGGGGAAGCCAGGATGCAACTGTTCTTGTGCAGCCTTTAGAGAGCTAATGAGGAGGCCTGGAACGGTGCTACAATTGGACTGGCATTTTTGGTGGTGATGGTTAGCTGTTAGCTGTTCTTGGTTCACCTGCCTTTAGGAAGGTAAGCTCATAGTTTAAGAATTACACACATTTTTTTTGAAAGATATCAGAATAAAAGAGGGTGAATCTTTCAGCTCTGAGATGGCGATGGAAACTGGATGCAGGGAAGGTTGTTGAATGAAATTCTGTGGAGTCTTGTCACTCTGAAGTCTCTCAGTTTGTAAATATTGATATTCCACTTTCAGGAAAAGGGCATATCATAAGATTTATGGCGCTGCGAAAGCCCATAGCAGAAGGAGATAAATATAAATAACTACAGCACAAGACAGCTGGAGATATACCTTAGCAGAGAGTATTTTATCTGTGTGGTGCCTTTTCAACCATTGTTCCTTGATAATTGCGTTGTTGAAAGTCTGTTTATTTTAAATTAACACAAGTAGTTCACAAAATGGAAAAGTTTTATGTCAGCATTCTAATAATGATTAATTATATAGGCAATTAAAAATAATAAGTGGGTAATGTCCTGTGTGGTACAATTAAAGGTGGATGCTGGGTCTCAAATGGTTGATGATGATTGGTTTAAGCAAATTGTCTGTAGCTGGTAAATGGTTCAATTCTGCATTATTATTGTCTGAAATTAAGAATCAAATTTTCTGCCAGGCCATGTTTGTCATGCCTCCAGTGCAACATAGATTTTCTCTCTCTCTCTGTCTCTCTCTTCATAAATATCATTGAAATAATCATGGCAGGTGTTCTCTTAAGTCAGCCATAAAGCATTATTTATTACATCAAAGGAAAATGGATAAAAATCCTGCCATTAATAAAATATTGTTTATCAATATATTTGATAACAAAGCAGGCTTTTTTCCTAATTAAAAAAGCTTTCAGAGAAAATGAAAGCCATGGGTTGCATCTAATGCTCCACACACATAGTTCTGTTGGTGGAACAAGACCTACATTTCCTCTCCTCCCTCCTATGAACCCTTGAAATCTGGAGGGTCCTCCAACTCTCCAGAGCTGATTTTGAGGGTGTGTGGTGGTGGGGAGCTGGAGGGGACAGGAGTGAAAGAGAAGCTCTGTTCACCCAGAAGTCTGTTCCACCCCTGCATTGAATACAATCATATGCAATTGGATTATATTACCAAACAATTTTATAGCGAGAGCTTGGATATTTCTAGATACGAAAAGGCTTTTGACTGATTTGGATGTGATATTTAAAAGACTGCATTGGAGAGCATCTGTAGCAATGAATATCTTTGTAAATATGGGTGGTGTTTTGGAGCTCTGTTGATAGGCCAAGGGATACAGATTATTTTTTAAACACCACTACCTTCTCCATTCACCTGAATTTACACCCTCACTGTGTTTCCAAATGCAGCTACCAACTCTGAATCTTTGCATTTCAATTTCTTTTTTTAAGTGTACCAGAAATATATTATCCACCTAAAGTGCAATTTGAAACATATACTCTAATAATCCAATCAATCCCATGGCTAACTTTAAGCTGTACCAGTGATCGGGAAGAGCTCTATACAAAAATTAAATAGGAAAGATGAAAGAAAACAATCTTGTCTTTTTCCTCATTCAGGAAATACAGTTTTCATTGCTGTGTGTCAACAAATATTTTTTCACTGCATAGTGAATCAACTCAATCGATGTTCACACAGTGAGGCAAAAGCCTAATGTTTTTATTACTTTGTACATTACAACATTTTCCACACTGTCAAATGCTATTTCAGCACTGAGAAAATTCAATAAAACAGATGTTTTGGATATTTGTGATAAATGAATTATATTAACCATAGCTGGGCTATAGACAGCAGTTTCAGGACAGCCAGGAACTAGGACCAAAGAGCATTCAGGATTTGCGAGTAATCAGGAAGCAGGGTCAGAAAACAAACCAAGAGCCAAGACTAATTCAGGATTAGAAGCCAAGACTGAAGAACAAATTGGAAGGCATGATCATACAGCAATCAGAATCAGGAGGCAAACCAGACTGAAGAACAAGCCAAGAGTCAGGACCAAAGAGGAAGACAAGAAACGCAAGGTGTCCTAGACATATTTTGGAAAGTGATTTGTCTGTTTGTCCATTTGTTCTCAAAGAGTTGGATGCCTCTCAAGATATCATTGTCAAACTTGGCATGAGGGCTCCCAAGGTGGGAAAGCGGACTTCATTGATGTTTGAACACCGTGCACCACTTTGAATCAAGATGGCTGACCAAAATGTCACTTTGGTGCGACTTCACACGTTTTTTGGCATGGGTTCAACTGTCTTTTGAGTTGTCACTAAACTCGACATGAGGGTTCCCAAGGTGGAGGCAGCAGTCTCGGACAATGTTTGGATGTTGGGCAGCATTTTGAATCAAGATTGTGGACCAAATTAACCCTATTTAAACACTAGCTTCCTCCCAAAAAAATATTTATTTGGGGCCAGGGGAGTTGTTGCCCAGATCAGGTCAGAGTCCTGTGTGCACACACACACATCCCACAAACTCACAAAATACACTATCTGTTTAAAAAATCACTTTTCTTTAAATACCCAGTCAGCACCGGGCACTCCACAGTAGCATCCTATAGTTCAAGCAGACCTTGTGGCAGAAGAAAGACTCAGCTGCAAAAGGGAGTCCTTTATACTTCTCCTTGCCTAGGAGGAGCCATTGGCCAGCCAGGTCAGATGACTGCAGTTATCTTGGTCACCACATGGCACTGTGGAATTAAGTATTTCACCAACATGAATTCCCAATATAAAGTTTACAGCCTGTTTTCCTGAAATGCTTTTTTGATGTGTAAGGAGCCAGCCCTAAGCAGTTTCAGCTCATCATTGTCTGGAGGAAACGAGCCTCTAGGCTTTTCAGTTCAGTACTATCAACAGTTTGTTCTCTACAGTGCTCTCAATCCTGGCTCCTTTCTTCTGATTTCATCTCTTTCTTCTGACTTTAATGCCAACTGTATTCCTATTTGCCAGCTTTACTTACATGCATGATGTCACCTCGCCCTGGCCACCATCTTGGACAGTGCGGTAGAGTTTTGCTTCTGTTGCCCAATAATATTTAGGCTTCTTTTTTCTTCCTGAAGTTTGTATATTTCTTTCCCATTTTAAGTTTGTTTCCTGGGCTGAGTTTTTTACCATCCCACAAGAATAACCTCTAAACTGAGAGCAATAGTTTTACATCCAACAATAAAACACAAAATGGCTGAAGAGTTTCAATCCTTCACAACATCCATGATCTCAAACAGTCTAAAGTCTATTGAAAAACTGTTCCAGGTCTATTAATACTTTCCTAAAATTTGAATTTCAGTAAAATACTTCTCTTTCAGCAATAAAGAACATGGAAAGAGGGTCAGACAAGCACACATACAACTATTTGTACATAAAAGCAAAAAATAACCTCCACTCCTTCCAAATTTGAGAATAAGGAAGGGAAAAAGAGGATGAGGCAATTATGAAGGAAAGGCTGTATATTCCTTCCTTATTATTTTACTTTATTTCATAACATTTATATACTGCTTAATTCTTAAGAAAACCCCAAAGCAGTTTACAAAAAGAAAAAAACCACACACAATAAAACTGTGAGTAGAAAAGTAGAAAACCATAAATCATTCAAGACATAAGATAAACAATAAACTAAAAACCGATTAAAGCATATATTCACATTCTACACATCCAGATAGGCTTGTCTAAACAAAAATGTATTCCCTCCCGCAGAAGAAGTAGATACAAAAATATTAACTTGCAAGACCCAGCATCAGAGGTTGGCATAGGTTTTATTTTTTTTATTAAAGCTATGCATTGGATTTTTAACATTATATAAACTTATCCAGTAGAAAATAAAATGGAGGAGGTAATAGCAAACAGACATTGCTGGCACAGTTGGGCATCTGCCAAGGCCATAGACTGGCAAGCACTGTGGAAGCTGTTGTCTGGTGATGGGTTTTCTACCTGCCTTGGAAGAAGCATCCCCAAAAGTGCTGCTTCTCTCTCAGGCATCTAACTTCCAATTGTAACTATGATATTGCTCCAGAGGAACACAGGGAGGAAGCCCAATTCAAGATTACCTGTCTTGGTCAGGCTAAAGGAACACAACAAAGCCACAGTGCTCCCTCTACTGCTGTCATTTGCTTCTCCTGACAGGAGGGGTGATCCGTAACCATATCCACCTGAGATACTGTTTAAGAACAGTAGCTTTGAAAATGAGGGAGTGGAATGAAGTTCTGCTGGTCTGTGGCCTTGGAGGTTGACCCAGCAAGTCTCTTGCCCCCCCCAGACTTGGACCACCTCTACAAATAACAGGATTCTATGGCATGAAGAGTGGTCTAAAAGTGCAAAAAATAATAGTAAGTTTTTACAATTATGTATGGCAATCTAGAACTTTCAGGATTGCATTCTGTCAGTGCAAGGATTTCACATTGCACAGCAAAGCATTCTCCTCTCCTCTCTTGTGCAGCCCATAAATCTGTTCTGGGTCCGTCCCCCCAACCATCTGGACCAGATTTGGGGAGGGTGTTGAGGCACATGGTGGGGAAGGAGAGGTAGGGAGACTCCTACTGCATGAACAGAAGTCATTCTGCTCACACAATTATTCAGTTGAATGCCACCCTTATTTTCATATCATGAGCAATGGCAGCATGTGACATGAGCAGATTAAAGGAAAAATATCAATTAATGGCTCTCACATATTACATGGCAACAAATCCAGATTTGCCTCCTAAAATACAATCAACAGGAGCCCACAGCTAATCCTGCCTCCATTGGTGGTGTGGACGCAGGAAAGTGACTCCCTAGAGAAGCTAGACTGGCTCCATCCCTCCTTGTCTTTCTGCTGGCAGGTGAAGACTTTCTTGTTCCGACCGGCTTTGGAAACTGACTGCTTTTAATGAAACGGCTGGTGTAATGCTGTGTGTGTGTGTGTGTGTGTGTGTGTGTGTGTGTAGAGTTTTAATTCTATTAATGTTTACTTGATTTTAAATTATTGTTTTTCCTGTGTTTTAGCAATTCTTGTTTTTACCTGTAAGCTGCTTTTGTAAGCTGCTTTGAGTTCCTGTCAGAGAAAAAGGTGGAATGATGATGATGATGATGTGTCTGATGTGTGTTGACAAACACATGCAGTTCAAATTGACATGTGGACTTAACCCTTGTACTGCATGCATTATACAGTCGTACCTCGGGTTACAGACGCTTCAGGTTACAGACGCTTCAGGTTACAGACTCCGCTAACCCAGAAATAGTACCTCGGGTTAAGAACTTTGCTTCAGGATGAGAACAGAAATCATGCTCCGGTGGTGCAGCAGCAGCGGGAGGCCCCATTAGCTAAAGTGGTGCTTCAGGTTAAGAACAATTTCAGGTTAAGAACAGACCTCCAGAACGAATTAAGTTCTTAACCTGAGGTACCACTGTATTTTAAAATTATTAACTTTAGAAGAAGCTACGATGAATTTATGCAGGGTATTCAGAGAAGCAAAGGAAAATAAATGCAATTGTAAGAGAAAGTTAAGCACTTCATGCAAAAGTAAAAGGTTTATTAATCAAATGGGGGCAACATCTGTTTAAAATACAGACTGTAATAATTTGCTTCTCCATTTCAAAATTCAGTCACAAGGGGTCACTGTTGCCTAAGAAAATGTTTTAAGAACAGAGAGAATTCATAGCTCCTCCCTTAGAGAGCTTGAAAATCCTGCCTGTGAGATTCACAATAGGGATATCACACACCAGATGCAAGACTACTGGAATCTATTCAAGTAATTACACCAACCCTGATGAGCTCTTTGGACCCTGCTCTTCACTTCTTCAAGAAAGGTGATTTTTAAAGGGGAGATGCCACTGGTGGGATTTGTGTCTGTATTTGCAATGGTTCCTTGGCAGAATCCTTCTGTGGTAAAGCAGCTGCTGCAGCTGGTTCTTCTCCACACTGCCTGGGAGATGGGGAGCGGCCAGCTCCATTATTCTGTGCCGGAGGAATCTCAGCATGGCACCTTTGTGGGTCGCATCACTCAGGATCTTGGGCTGGATGTAAGTGAGCTGGTGCCTCGGATGTTCCAGATGGTGTCTAGAGGACATGAAGACTATTTTGAGGTAAATGTGCAAAATGGAATCTTGTTTGTAAATTCCCGGATAGACAGGGAGGAGCTTTGCAACAAGAACCCTGTGTGCTCCATTCACCTGGAGATGATTGTGGATAAACCTCTGAGGGTCTTCCATGTGGAAGTGGAGATCAAGGACATAAATGACAATGCTCCTCTTTTTTCAGTAAATGAACAGAATTTGACTATTGCAGAATCAGGTTTACCAGGTTTCCGTTTCCTGTTAACTGGTGCCTCTGATGCAGATACAGATGCCAATGCTTTGCTGACCTACAAGCTCAGCCCTAATGACTATTTCATTCTTGAATCGGGAGGTGATGAGGACCAGAGTAAATCTCCAGTACTTATACTAAAAACTCCACTTGACAGAGAGAAGACTCCTGTGCATCACTTGGTGCTCACAGCCACTGATGGGGGCAAACCAAAGCTCACAGGCACAGTCCAACTGGTGATCAATGTCCTGGATGCAAATGACAATCCTCCTGTATTTAACCAGTCCACTTACAAGGTAAAACTAATGGAAAATGCAGCTAATGGAACAACGGTTATTAAACTGAATGCTACAGATTTAGATGAAGGAATTAATGGGGAAATCACTTATTTTTTTAGTAATAATGTACCACCCCGTTTCACAAAGATATTTAGCATAAATGCTAACACAGGTGAGGTCAGAGTGATTGGGAAAGTAGATTTTGAAGACATTAATCTATATGACCTTCAAATTGTTGCAGAAGATAAAGGCAGTTTGCCTTTGTCTGGACACTGTAAGGTTCTCATTGAGGTGTTAGACATGAACGACAACGTTCCAGAAGTTTCTGTGACTTCTCTTGCTGTGCCAGTGCCAGAGGACTCTCCTCCAGGGACAGTGGTGGCCCTTGTCAGCGTCTCGGACAGGGACTCTGAAGCCAATGGGCAAGTGAGTTGCTCCCTGTGGCCCCCTGGGCTGCCTTTCAAATTAGCATCGACATTCAAGAACTACTACTCCTTAACTCTAGCAGAGCCTTTGGATCGGGAGCGGGTGGCTGAGTACAGCTTGGTAGTGACAGCTCAAGATCAAGGCGTTCCACCATTGTCTGCTAGCAGCAGCCTCTTAGTTCCTATCCGTGATGTAAATGACAATGCTCCAGCTTTCACGCAGCCCTCCTACACGGTCTTTGTGAAGGAGAATAATCCACCGGGTGCCCACATCTTCACTGTGTCTGCCTCAGACCCGGATGTGGCTGAGAATGCTCTAGTCAGCTACTGGATCGATGAGACCCTCTGGCCCCTGACAAGCTACATCTCAGTGCACTCGGAGAGTGGGAAGGTCTATGCTTTGCAACCCTTGGACTATGAGGACATAAAGCTTCTGGAGTTCCAAGTGAGGGCCAAGGATGCAGGGCTGCCCTCCTTGTGTGGCAACACTACAGTTCAGGTGTTTGTGGTGGATGAGAATGACAATGCGCCTACAGTGGCTGGGTCATCAGAAGAGACTCCAATTGTTCTAGTGGCTCCTGTGTTGTCTGGACACATGGTGGGCAAGATCCGTGCCCTGGATGCTGACTCAGGGTACAATGCATGGTTGCGATATGAGATGCATGAGTTGACCGCTGGCCCTTGGCGTGTGGGGCTATACAGTGGGGAGATCAGTACCACACGTGCCCTGGATGAGGTGGAGAGCAGAAGCAGCCAGACTCTCCTTGTGTTGGTGAAAGATCATGGCACACCTTCACTCACGGCCACAGCCACACTGAGTTTGTCACTGGTGGCAAGTGCCCAGGCTGTTAAGACTGACACCCTTTCCAGGACAGGTGAAAGCTCAAAGCCTTTGGTGGACAATGTCAATGTCTACCTGATCATTGCCATCTGCTCCGTGTCCAGCTTGTTCCTCCTAGCAGTAATCTTTTACGTGGCCTTGCGATGCCGTTGCCAGGCGAAGGAGGCCATGGTGTATGGTCCTGGTACAGCCACGCTGGTATGTGCCAGTGAAGTGGGCAGCTGGTCCTATTCAAATCGCCACAGCCACATCCTGGCAGGTGTGAGCGGGGAGGCTGGAGCCAAGAGTGACCTCATGGTCTTCAGCCCCAACATTCCTGTTTTTGCAGATAATGGGGAGGTTAGGAATGGGAAGGAACTGCTCCCAAATGCATCTGGAGAGGTGAGTCATGTGCAACTATTAGAATCCTTGAAAAAACACAATATATTTTTATTCTAATACCATGTTTTTTGCGAACTGAATGACAATTTCTGTATGCCAGTTTGGGATCAGTCTTGATGCAATAAGCATGTTCAATATAGATTTAAAATGGCATTCTATACATGCAGAGATTGCTTCTACATAAACTAGAATAATTCCATGTTGGATTTTTGGGGGTGGGGGGTGGGGTGGACAAACCAGGGCTCTTTTCTTTGCTCTGGTGCAATAAATTCTCCACAATAAGGAGTGCCCATATTCTGTGTAACCATAGGTTCATCAAAAGAATGCTATTAGACTCCTTCAGGGTGTGGGTTTGTCCAGTTTGCTGCCATAGGAAGAAATGGAAATAAATCCTTTTATCTTGTGAAAAATTTATGGCCATGTACTATATTTAGCAGCAAAAAAATTGATGATTACTTTCTCTTCTTTTTTAAAAATATGCTATATATGTGCTGCCAGAAGGTTTGAATTCTTGGGTACGTCCTCCAGACACGTCAAGAATGTAGTCTTCCCAAGCTTTAATGTATTCTGTGGGAGAACCACCTGATGCAATTTTGCTAGGAATGCTCTCTGGAGCCAGAGCAGATATTGGCATGCTGTGATCTCACCTAGTCTCATGTGACATGGATATGTTTAAAACTGATTTTTCAGTTAATATTGGGGCAGTGCTTTTATCTGTCTCATAGCCAGACATGTTAACATGGTGTGTGGGTGTTTGTGTGTAGAAATAAGGATACATTTGGTGTTAGAGGAGGAAATGGTCCAATGTGCTTAAACTTATTTAATATTAAACAAATTAAAATCAATTAAGAAGTGTGCTAAGTGACCAAATACCTTGCCAATCAACCCAGAGACTCTATGGGTGAGAATAACAAGGCAGAAGAAGCAAGATTACCTCATAATGAGCAGTCAGCTACATTTACCCATGTGCTTTTCTTTCTTGCTTTCTTTCTTTCTTTCTTTCTTTCTTTCTTTCTTTCTTTCTTTCTTTCTTGATATTTACAGTAAAAGTCTTTCCAGGTCTTCTCAGATTCCACTGTTTTCAGTGGCATCTCCCTTCTAGAAGGAGCACACAGAATTAGAGTCACTCTTTTTTAATATGCATAAAAGGAGAGGTGGAAATCCATGCCTTGATTCAGCAAGGGGCTTTCCAGCAAGGCATGGAAGTCTTGGGGTGTTTATTCCAGCCTTTGTAAATGATGGGTGGAGTGACAGTGGCTCTTCCCAGAGGCCCTGGGATGGAGTAGGACAACAATGAGGTCAGGGAACCTCCTAGCTCACTGAAAACCCAACCCCTGCACAAGCCACTGCTGCTGTATTCCTAACTTTACAAGGCATCCACAGAGAACTGGTTGCTCCATGCATAATCTCCCAACTCTTAAAAGTTTTAATTGTCCTGGCTGACAGTTCACACCCACCCACCCTTTTCCTTCAGAGAGTGCAGTCTAGCATTCTCCCAAAGCCCAGTCATGGAGTAGCTTGCTTTTGTGGAATTCATTCATGGATAATCTACTGATCAAAACAAATATTTGTACATTTAAAAACAACAACAACCAAATACCCAAAACTAGATGTCATTCTCTAGATAGCCCATAAAGAGAAATCAAGTAAATGAAACTTTCAATGCATAGAAGATAAAATAAAACAGATTCATTTAACTTTATAAAATAACCTATATTGTCCTTCTCCTGCCCATGCACCCGTCAGAGTAGCTTACAGCAATTTGAAATCACAGTACAACAAAAATATATTGCAATACATCAATAAAAAGCAACACATTGAAAGAAGCATTAAAACCGTTTATATTGCATATTGCGTTCAACCCAAAAGGCCCACTTGGCTTGTTCAGAGTGCAGTGTTCTGGGCTAGGTGGCAGTGGGTTTTCCAAGATCATCTGGTCAACACATGGCTGGCATGAGAGGAATGCGAGTATTTCTGTTGAACCTTATGCAAGGAAAACTCCATATTGGAAGCTTAAATATGACTAAAGGTATAGAATTGATTGGGGAATTGGGATATCTATGGATGAAGATGGTCCATGGAAAATTTAGGGGCTGAAACAAGAAATGACATTTTCAAGAAGGGTCTATGTCAATAAAAGGGAATAAAAACAAAAGAATGGATAAGCTGTAATTGATCAGAATTTGTTCTGTGATTTCTAAAGAGGAAGATGAAAGTTAAAGGTACAGCCACCAAGTTAATATGCTAGCAGATACATGAACAAAGCACCTTAGTGTTCTTTAAAAAATAAATCATATATGAGACAGTGCCTACTATGACTCTCATGTCAGCCTTGAACCCAGTTGGAGGCCTTGAGATGAAGTCCTACATCCATCAATTGTAACATGATTATATTCATGAAACAGTTTTAGTTTGAAATGCTATGTGAATGCAAAGTGTTATTATAACTGAAGAGTTGTGAATGGCCACTTAACACCTTCCCTTTCAGAAGCAGCCTCATGTAATGTGGCCCCTATTGAAGTGATCACCAGCCTCTCTTTTTGTATTCTTTAGGCTTAACTCTATAAAGTACAGCATTTTTTCCTAGTTTAATCCAGAACAAGTGGTTTTAACTAGGGGAAACTTTATGAAATGGAACCCTAAATTTGAGCAACATTTGGCACAGAAATTAATTTCTGAGGAATTTATGACATAGACTACTTTTTATTTATTTAAATGAAGATTTTTTTGGGGGTGTGTGTGCATGCTTTTTCATCTCCTGTGTATTGCAAATTAGGCTGGATTTTTTAATACCATCTGTAAAGACAACCCAGCCCCTAGTACAGAGGTGGTGGTTGGGCAAGCAAATTTCTTCTTAAACACCTTGAACTCATTTTATGAATGCAGGGAAGGGTCTGGGAGGTGAGACTAAAGGTGAGTTTCTCTTCTTGCCATAGGCAGAATTAGAATTTCATAGGTAATAAGAGACAGGATATGATGAGACACGACCTGCAAATCCATCTTTCACATTTTGCATTTGGTGTCATCTTAAAATATGCATGCCAGACCATGGTCACAATTCTTTGAAGTGTTGTGTAGGGTATTTGCAGTATTTTAAAACATGCAAAGTATGTGGAGGAGAAATTCCTCCAAACCTCATGAATTCCTCTGTCTGAAGAGGCATGACTGAAGTGTACAAAATCATGCCTGGTGTGGAGAAGGAGACCCTTTTCTCCCTTTCTCCTAATACTAGAGCCTGGAGTCATCTAATGAAGCCGAATAATTGGAAATTCAGGATTCGCCACCACACAATGTGCTGATGGGCATCAACTTGGACAGCTTGAAGAGCCGATTCAGCAAATTCATGGAGGATGGGGCTATCAGGGGCTAATACTCATGAGGACTATGTGCTGCCTGGTATCAAAGACCATTTGAATGCCATTTCCTGGGAAACACAAGTAGAAGACCACTGTTGCGTTCATATCCTGATTATATGTTTCCCTTAGGTATCTGGTTGGTCACCATGAGAACTGGATGCTGAACTAGGTGGGCCTTTGGTCTGATCTGTTCTTATCTAGAAGCTTCCCCCACCTCATTTTCAGATTATGGAAAGGTATAGTATGTCTGGAACCATTCCAGCCTAAGCAGCCCGAACCTTTGTCTTTGCGCTAAACAGGAAGCCCTAAGGGCTAACAGAAAAGGACTGCCCGCTCCCTTCCTGCTAAAGATTATCAAAAGTTTTTCTCTAGTCCCACACGTTCCAGATGTTGTTGCCATTATCCTGATCAGAGAATATAAAATGGATGTTCATGTGAAACTTGTATTCATGGACTGAGATATCGAAAGTACTTGCAACAGAAGTCTCAAATGGATCAGAATTGCCATGTTCAAAACTTCTCAGGAATTAACTATTAGGAGATCTAATCTAGCAGTCTGACACTGGGCATGTCTTCCTCTTGGCTAAAAAGGAGGTGGTATTCTATTCCATCTTGATTTACTGGTATTTTTTTTTATAATCCCATGTTGCAGCTCTTTACCACGAGCCATCTATTGTTCCAAATCCCAGTTATACCCTTTGGTGTTACATAATCTGAAATTCATTGCAACAGTATTTCTTGGTCCCAGAAAATCCTTTGAATTTCAATAAAAACATTAGACTCCCTTCTAAGCAATGGTGAACACAGAAAGAGGCAAGGACACCACAGGGAAGGAAAGAAGCAGCCACTCATCCAAGAACCAGCTTTTATTCACAACCCATTTTCACTTGTTGACAACAAAATGAACAACAAATTGCATACAAAGCAGAGGAAGGAAGAAACGTAGAAGCTAGCAAATATCCTTGGAAGGCTTATGCTTTGTACGGATGTGTGCACAAAATTCCACTCAATTCCAGGCAGAAGTGGATGAGAATGAATTATTCTGCAGACCCTGAAGACGTGCTGCCAGTCAGAGCATGATAGACTGGATGGCCAATGGTCTGATTCAGTATAAAGCAGTTTCAAATGCCCAGTGTCTTTGTGTAGGGGCAGACCTTGTTCATGTAAGAGACACCCCTAACAATGGAGCTGGAAAAAGGGAAGCTGATAACATTTCAACCCCCCCCCCAAAAAAAAAGTTCTACCAGAAAAGGAAAGTAAAAAGGACATGATAGTTCACAGCAGTTTCACCAGGGAATGACATGTGAATCGTGGCATGCGAATGTGAAGATGGAAGTTTTTCCTTCTGGAAGTACATACGGCACCTAAGAGTGTGCAGACGAAGAATGAAAACAGTGATGGTGCATAACTGACATAAAGGGAAAAGATTCCAAAAAGGAGCTGAGTTAATGGAATATAATAAAATAAATGTAACTTGAATAGAAAGACAAATGGAGGCTAAGGAATTTACTTGGAAGTAAAACTGTATCAAATAGTGTGTATTGGCACGGGATTATTAAAAACATTTACTTGAAAACATAAAAGGTAATAAACAGTCTGATTCTCCAGTTCAAAACTCAGTCACAAGGTGTCACTGTTGTTTAAGGAGTTTTTTAGGAAGACTGAAAATTCAGAGCTCCTCCCTCAAAGGTGCTGAATATCCTGTCAAATACACAGCAGAGACATCAAACATTAGCTGGAATACCAGAGTCAACTGATCTCTTAGCCATTGGTTTGGAGGAACGTCTTGGACTCTGCTCATCACTTCCTCAAAAAAGGCAAGACATTGCTGGGATTTGTATCTGAATTTGTCATGCTTGCATGGAAGACAAATTCTGGAAAGAGATGTCTACTGCAGCTGGTTCTTCTCCACACAGCCTGGGAAATGGGGAGCGGCCAGCTCCATTATTCTGTGCCAGAGGAATCCCAGCACGGCACCTTTGTGGGCCGTATTGCCCAGGATCTGGGACTGGAGGTGGAAGAGCTGGTGCCTCGGCTGTTCCGAATGGTGTCCAAAGGACAGGAGGAGTATTTTGAGGTAAATGTACAGAATGGGATTTTGTTTGTTAATTCCCGGATAGACAGGGAGGAGTTGTGTGACAGGAGCGCTGTGTGTGTTATTCACCTGGAGGCCCTTGTAGATAAACCCCTGAAGGTTTTCCACGTGGAAGTGGAGATCACCGACATAAATGACAATGCCCCCATTTTCCCTGTAACAGAAAAGCAATTTACTATTGCAGAGTCTAGCTCTCGTGATTCACGTTTTCCTCTAGAGGGAGCCTCTGATGCAGACATCGGTGCAAACTCGCTCCTTAGCTACAGACTTAGCACAAATCCACATTTCAGTCTAGAGACAATAGAAAATCATGAACGTGGTGCATCTTTATTTCTTGTTTTAAACAAACCTCTTGATAGAGAAGAATGTGCAGCTCACCATCTTTTACTCACAGCAGTTGATGGAGGCCAGCCCCAGCTCACTGGCACCGTCCAGCTGATAATCAAAGTGCTAGACGCAAATGACAATCCTCCTGTATTTAACCAGTCAGTTTATAAAGTCCATTTATTAGAAAACTCAGAGAATGGGCTATTAGTAATTAAGCTAAATGCTACCGATTTAGATGAGGGAACAAATAAGGAGATCACATATACGTCAAGCACTTTTTCTCCTGCAAATGGAAAAGAAAAGTTCATACTTGATCAAAAGACTGGTGAGATTCACGTGAAAGGAAATCTGGATTTTGAAGACAAGAATTTTTATGAAATACAAGTTGAGGCTAAAGACACGGGGAATCCGCCATTATCAGGGCATTGCAAAGTTTTGATTGAGGTTCTAGATGTAAATGATAATGCACCTGAAATTTCAGTGATGTCTCTGCTGGTACCCGTTCCAGAGGACTCCCCTCTGGGAATGGTGGTGGCCCTGATAAGCATATCGGACAGGGATATTGATGCCAATGGACAAGTGAGCACTTCCTTATGGCCACATGGAACCCCCTTCAAGCTACTTTCCACCTTCAAGAATTACCATTCACTCTTGCTAGCTCAGCCCCTGGATAGGGAACAAGAGGCTGAGTATAGGCTGGTAGTGACTGCCCAGGATCAAGGGACTCCATCACTGTCAGCCAGCAGCACCTTGGTGGTGCCTATCAGTGATGTGAATGACAATGCACCTGCTTTTGCTCAGCCCTCCTACACGGTCTTTGTGAAGGAGAACAACCCACCGGGTGCTCACATCTTCACGGTGTCTGCCTCAGACCCAGATGTGGCTGAGAACAGCCTGATCAGCTACTGGCTGGACGAGAAGCTCTGGCCCCTGTCAAGCTACATCTCGGTGCACTCAGAGAGTGGGAAGCTCTATGCTCTTCAGCCCTTGGACTATGAGGAGGTGAAGCTGCTGGAGTTCCAAGTGAGGGCCAAGGATGCTGGGCTGCCCTCCCTGTGTGGCAATGTGACGGTGCAAGTCTTTGTGGTGGATGAGAATGATAACACGCCTGTAGTGTATGGGACAGAAGTGATTCCCATCTCTTTGACTGTTCCTGTGACTGCTGGACAGGCGGTGGGCAAGATCCATGCCATGGATGCTGACTCAGGCTACAATGCATGGCTGCGCTATGAGATGCATGAGGCAATCAGCAGCCCTTGGCGAGTGGGATTATACAGCGGGGAGATCAGCGCCGCACGTTCCCTGGATGACACAGAGGGCAGCTACAGCCAAAGGCTTCTTGTTCTAGTGAAGGACCATGGCAAGCCAGCTTTGTCATCCACAGCTACTTTGAGTGTGTCCATGGTGATGAATTCCCAGGCTGTCCATGGCGACGCTCACCTTTCAAGGAAGGGAGGCAGTCCAAAGCCACTGATGGAAAATGCCAATGTTTACTTGATCATTGCTATCTGCTCGGTGTCCAGTTTGTTCCTGCTGGCGATCATAGTATACATGGCGCTGCGATGCCGTTTCCAGGCCAAGGAGGCCGTGGTGTATGGTCCTGGGACAGCCGCACTAGTCTGCGCCAGCGAAGTTGGCAGCTGGTCATATTCAAACCGTCACAGCCATCTTCTGGCGGGCATGGGTGGGGAGGCTGGTGCCAAGAGTGACCTCATGGTCTTCAGCCCCAGCATTCCGGCCTGTGTGGAAAATGGGCAAGTGGGAGTTGTGAAGGAACCAGTTCCAAATTCATCTGAGCAGGTGAGTTATAAGAATTGATACTATTATCAATGAAAAAAAACTACTATGAAAAACCTATTCTGTTTTGGCATGTGTGACATAGTTGGGTGTTTGATTTTTTAATAATTAAAAGCATTCCTTTATTCACACTTATGATTTTTGGAAGACTTTAATGAGAATGTTGCAGGGGTAAAGGTAGTGTTATTCTTATTTTATAGGCAAATGCCATTGGCCTCATTCCACTTATACCTGTGAAGGTGATCTTTTGGATGTAAAAACAGCCAGTGTTTTTGCTGTTGTTGGAAGCAAGAATATGCGCCAGCATACCCCTGAAACATGCTTCTCTTTCTGTTCACAGTATTTGGACAACCAGTGCTTGACTGTGTTTAATATTGGTTATTTGGCTTTTGAATTAAAATAAGGAACAGTGTAGCAAATTAGTTGTGGCCAAGTATCAAGCATTATCAGTGCATCCTAACGAAACCTCAGACCATTCCTCAAACCTACACAGGAATGAAGGACAAGTTTAGATGATCCACCTTCAGAAAGAGGAGGCTCTGAATGGTTTCTATTTCATTTTGGTTGACTTTCCTTGTGACATGGCAAGTGGTTCTGTCAAATCCCTGGTCAGTTTGTGCCATATCCCACTACCTAAAGTCCATTTAGGTCCTTCATTTTTCTGGAGTTCATTTTGGACCTTACTCTGTGGTAGATATAGTAACAAAGAAATTATTTTCCCATCACCATGCACATCTGTGTCCAGCACATCTGTTTATGTGGTGAGACAGCTGCTTCATGTGGGTTTTCAGACAGATCTTATGACGCCTCAGCAACCTCTGGCGATATTTTTGCTAAGCACCTCAAGGATAAAATTGCTCATGTTTCTACTGATATGGCTGTGGTGCTGAGTTTAGTAAATTACCCGTTGTTCTATGGTCTTGCCGATATTGTGTAGATGTGTTCCATTTATTATAGTCTAAGGATGCTGAAAGGTTGCTTGGAGTTTTAATTTAGTCATTTAGTGTATATTTATATTGACCACCCATTAGCACAGTTTTTGGGGTGGCTCACAAAGGTAAAGTGATAAAATGCACACGAACATGCATGCAACAGCAACAAAAATAGTGTGACTTGACAATTTTTGCTCTTTCTCACTTATATCTTCCCATCAAGATATGATGGGTATACTCCAGGAAATCGTGAACGTGTCACTGAAAGAGGTAGCCTGGGAGTAGCCGCTGGGTACATCCTTTGGGTTTCTACACAATGTGCTTCAGATGTTGGTGAGGCAGAAAAAAAGCCCTCTCTTGAAGATCTTAAAATTTGTGCAGGCTCATGTGGAAGAATAGAATGTTTCAGATAACCAGGTCCACCTCCAAAATCTGAGCATTCAGATTCAGGACTGAATCCTAGAGTGTAACCAAACTGCAAAGCTTGAGTCTTCAAGCAAAGTACAACCACATCCAAGGCAGGTTGAACCCCATTTCTCCAGCTTGCCTTTCTATTGGCCAGGAGCTTGTCTGGCTGAATCTACAGTTTGTGCACCATCTTCCAGTCCATTACTAAAATCAGACACTAATTCCGAAGGCAGTTTCCTTGGATTTAAATGGAAAAAAGAAATAGAGTTGGGTGGCATCAGCATATTGGTGATAATGAACCCCCAAACTCCTGGACACCTGACCCAGCAGTTTCATGAAATGTGAGAAACAATGTGGAATTTTGACAGATACACTATAGGCCATTGGCCAAAGCCTTAAACAGGAGTCCTCCAGCACCATGTTCTGAAACTTTCCCTCTAAGAAGAAACAGAACTACTGTAAAACAATGCCTTCCAGTCTTATCACAGCCAGGCAGTCCTGAAGGATACCATGGTCAATAGTGCCTAAGCTGCAAAGGGATCCAGCAGAACCAACAGGTTGGATTTTCTCATTTGATTGCAGAAATAATTTTGAATATAGTTTTTCAAACACACACAGAACTGGACCATTTAAGGAAACGCTAGAGACTACTCGCCAAATTCACTTACCTGGGAATAACTCCAATCAAACTACATAGGGATTACTTCTGGGTAGCCATGTAAAGGACTGCACTATTAGAGGCCCATAATCTTTCTCTAGTTTATACTCCTGTCTATATATTTTTGTGAATATACCCTCGCTGAATAAAATCTTCCAGTTTCCTTAAGCCACCTTTAACCAACTTCTTTGCCACTGATAATAAAGTAAATGTAAAAGTATATATGAATTTATATTTGGTGTATGTGAAGTAAAAAAGGAATCACTTTGGAATATACCTAATTAAAATACAGTCACTATCACATTTAAAAGAAAAAGCTCAATATAAATGCCTGATTGAGATCAGGAAGAAAGTATACGGTAACTTACAATAACTTACAAATATATGACAACTTACAATTTAATAAACAGCACCTACCACTGGGTGTTGCTGTTGTTATATCCCCCCTTTTCCCCTGACAGGGACTCAGGGTGACTGGCAAGAGTGTTAGAAGGCAAATCCATTTACAGTTGTGTCTTCTTCATTTTCTATTACAGCATCACACCAAAACTAAAAGAGCCTCATAAAATAAAAAGAGGATGCCTATAGCTCTTGCCTAAAATTCTATCTCACATTAAAACCGTTCTTCTTGGCTAAATTAACATTCCATGCAGTGTAATCCTAAACATGTTTGTTCGATAGCAATAACAGAAAGTTCTATCATGTTGGATGGGGCGTACTCCCAGGAAATGTGCATAGGACTATAGCCTTAATTGATTCCTCTACCAATGACAACATCTGTGCCCATTCTCACCAGTTAAATCAGTGAGATCTGGGCTGGATGTCTGAGCCTCTGAGGTGGCAGATAAGAGGGGTGTGCATGGCCTCTATGATACACCAAGTATGTATCTTGGCATTGTTGAAAATTCTGATCTGTTTTTGAGTCGTGCTCTGTTCTCTCTGATTCAATCTGTAATTTGGGTTGGAGCCACTCTGTATAAAACAAGCCTCTCTGTTCCGCCTTCACTATAACAGAAAATCTAAAAATGGCTACAACTTTCCTTTTTTTGGCCAAGGTGGATGAAATTTACAGGCGCAGGAAACCAAATTGCCAAATTGCAGAATAGTTCCAGGGGCTGTTTGTGGTGGAAGTAAAAGGGATTCAGTTTCCTCCATAATCCCATTGACGTGTGTGCGTGCGCAGGTGTTTGCCTCTTGCTCTTTCTTACCTTAAAATAATTAAGAGGTGACTGACTGCTGTGCATTTTTGCATGTGTTTTTTAAAAACCTTGCAGCTTTACACATGCTTTTCCAATGCTTGTTTGTGTTCTCTGACAGGCCTTATAATGTGAAGCTGTCTCCAACAGTGCCTGCAATGTTCTGAAGAACTCTGGAGATTTATTTGCTAAAACCAAGCAACATGGAATTTCTTCCCCCCAACACTACTTTTCTTAAAATCCCCTATTGCTGTACTGTAACAAAAGAAAAAGGAAATTCCTGAGCTCTTTATTGATCTGTAGGCAACAATTTCAGACCCTTCAAGTGTCCCTATGTTGCAGGGACAGTCCGGGATTTATAGCAGCCATCCCAGTTTCTGATTTGATCTGGGAATTGATCCTGGAATGTCCTGCTTCTCCTTAGGATGCCCTTATTTTCACTGGAGAAATGTTGGTGGGTATAAAATTCTCTGGGACAAGTGGCATATAAATATTTTAAAGTAGTAATAAATAAAAAAATAAGAGAGGTCAGCAGCAAGGCAGTCACGTGGATGTGCTGCAGTAGTGGCTTGGGAGTAAAAGCAGATATGGCTACTTTCTAATGAAACATGGTATATATTACCATTTTTAATATTTTTATATTAAAATACAGACAATTATTTTCAGTGGCGTAGCGTGGGGGGTGCAGGGGGGGGCCGGCCGCACCGGGTGCAACATTTGGGGGGGCGCGCTCGCACTCGCAGCTCTCTGCCCCTACTAAAATCCACGGGTTAGGGGGCGCAAATTACTTGCCTTGCCCCGGGTGCTGACAACCCACGCTACGCCACTGATTATTTTATTGTTTATTTTAATTCAAAATATTGTTTATTTTAATTCAAAACACAACCGAGGCCTAGAGCCTCTATCAACTATCAGCCATCTTATCAATAATGCAAACATCAACTGGGGTAGTTCTTCTTGCCCTGCTGCTTGGGGACGGTACAATTATTAACGAATTACTTCCCTAGTACTGTTGTATTCTTTTTACCACTGTAGTGCATAAGTGCAGGAGGATGCAAAGAATGACTCAATAATATCCTTAAAAACTATTGTCCTGTTGAATCTAGGATAGTGGGATTTGTATTTCTTTTTTATGATTATTTTTTTAAAGGGAAGGAACACTAATTTTCCAGTCAGTCAATGTGGTGTAGTGGTTAGAAAGTTAAGGGCACTGGGAATTGTAGCTTGGGGGTGGAAACTACAGTTTTTAGAATTCTTTGGGGGAAGTCACATGCTTTAAATGTATGTTGTGTACGTAGCCTTTGTCTAGCAATTTCTGTATTAGTGTTTTGGCTCTCAATGACCTTACCTGGCAAGATGGAATAGGCTGGGTTGCAAATAAATTATGGGCTGTGTCCCTAGTTTGAGGTTCCAAAATAATTTTGAGTTGGACCCAGTAGGGTTTTTCCAATGTTCTCTGGCTAATTTTTTCATGTGTCAGTTCTCTGCCTGTCACACACTGTGCCTTTGTTGTGTAGAGTGATTGGGCAAAGAGAGAAGGCCACTGGACATGGTGGTCCCAGAAATAATGCCTATTTGATCTCTTGTGAAGGAATGCAGTTGACTCAGTATCTCAGACCTCTACAGTGTAAACTTCTCAACAGTTTGGTATGCCTTGTGATAGCAGCATAAAAGTCTTCTAGTGTAAGTAGTTGAAAATGTAACCTGTGGAAGCCACAATACTCTGACTGAGCTCTATTTTGGATAATTGAAATCAACATGTACTCTACCTAATTGTTTGATTCTACAATGATTATTCGAAAGTATTACAACTATATACCAAAAAACACACAAGTTAACTTTGCAAGGAAAAACATCAGAAAATAATAGCAACGAACTACACATATATTTCAGAAGGAAATTATGAAATTAATCTAAGAATTGAGGAAAATTTAAAATAAAATACCTGTGTGGCATTTATACCAATTGTCACAAGATGTCGCTACCCACTGAAAATCAAAATACTCTTTTCAGGCAGAGATCAAAGCCCCTCCCAGCAATTCAGAAAGAACAAGAGACCGCAAGAAGCTCAGGGTGATGGCATGGAGACTGCAGCATAACAATTGCCTATTTCCCACCATTTTATGCTGACGCTGGAGAGTGGATTAATTTTTTTCCAAAGCAGGGAGAAAACCTACCGTGACAATGTCTTTGAACCAATGCCCCCTGGTGAAGAGCTGGCTGCTGCAGCTGATTCTAATCCACAGAGTCTGGTTGATGGGAAGTGGCCAGCTCCATTACTCTGTCCTGGAAGAATCCCAGCATGGCACCTTCGTTGGCCGCATTGCCCAGGATCTGGGGCTGCAGGTGGAGGAGCTTATGCCCCGGATGTTCCGGATGATATCCCAAGGCCATGAGGACTACTTAGAGGTAAATGTCCAAAATGGAATTTTATTTGTTAATTCCCGGATAGATCGAGAGGAGATGTGCGCCAAGATCCTTGTATGCATGATTCACCTGGAGGTGATCCTGGATAAACCATTGAGAGTCTTTCATGTGGAAGTGGAGATCAAGGATATCAATGACAATGCTCCTATATTCCCAGCTGCTGGGCAAACCCTGATTGTTCCTGAATCTAGACTTCCAGGTTCATCCTTCCCACTAGAGGGAGCTTCTGATGACGATATTGGTTCAAACTCTCATCTCAGCTACAAACTCAGTCCCAATGAGTATTTCACCTTGGATGTTCAAAACAATGAGAAGCATGGTGAGTCTTTAGTTCTTGTGTTAAAGAAACCTCTTGATCGAGAATTAACTCACGTATACAATTTATTGCTTACGGCCACTGATGGAGGGAAACCAGAGCAAACTGGCACAGCTCAGTTGCTAATCAGTGTGCTGGATACGAATGATAATGCACCAGTTTTTAATCAGTCTGTGTATCAAGTTAAAGTTTTTGAAAATGCAAAAATAGGAACATTAATAATCTGTCTCAATGCAACAGATCTTGATGAAGGAATTAACAAAGACATTATATATTCAATTCGAAGTGTTAACCCACAGAATTTAGGTGCACTGATCAGTTTAGATTCAAGTAATGGACAAATCACATTAAATGGAGAACTTGATTTTGAAAGTATTAAGTTAGGTGAAATTAGGGTAGAAGCAACAGACAAAGGCTCCCCACCAATGAAAGGACATTGCAAAGTCCTGATTGAGGTCTTGGATGTGAATGACAATGCTCCTGAGATATCAGTCTCATCACTGTCAGTGCCAGTGCCAGAGGACTCCCCACTAGGGACAGTGGTGGCCTTGCTCAGCATTTCTGACAGAGATGTTGGTGCCAATGGACAAGTAAGCTGCTCCTTGTGGCCACCTGGCCTCCCCTTCAAGCTGATGTCCAACTTCAAGAATTATTATTCACTGGTGATAGCTCAGCCTCTGGATCGGGAGAAAGTAGCTGAATATAGACTGTTGGTGATGGCACAAGATCAAGGGGAGCCATTGCTGTCAACCAGCAGCAGTCTGGTTGTGCCCATCAGTGATGTAAATGACAATGCACCTACATTTGCACAACCCTCCTACATGGTCTTTGTGAAGGAGAACAACCCACCGGGTGCTCACATCTTCACTGTGTCTGCCTCAGACCTAGATGTGGCTGAGAACGCTCTGGTTAGCTACTCGATGGATGACAAGCTTTGGCCACTGACAAGCTACATCTCGGTGCACTCGGAGAGTGGGAAGGTCTATGCCTTGCAACCCTTGGACTATGAGGAGCTGAAGCTGCTGGAGTTCCAAGTGAGGGCCAAGGATGCTGGGCTGCCCTCCCTGTGTGGCAATGTGACTATTCAGGTCTTTGTGGTGGATGAGAATGATAATGCACCAGCAGTGTCTGAGCCAGAGGAGGCTCCCATCTTGCTGGCAGCCCCACTAGAAGCTGGACATGTAGTGGGAAAGATCCGTGCCTTGGATGCTGACTCAGGCTACAATGCATGGCTGCGCTATGAATTGCATGATGCGAAAAGTGGTCCTTGGCGCGTTGGGTTATACAGTGGTGAGATCAGTACAACCCAAGTCCTGGATGAGACAGAAGGTGGCAGCAGCCAGAATCTGCTGATAGTAGTGAAGGATCATGGCAAACCAGTGTTGTCAGCCACAGTCACATTCAGTGTATCACTAATATCAAGTGCTCAGGCTGTTCACACTGATACCCGGCTTCCCATGTTGGGAGTGAACTCAGGATCCTTGGCGGACAATTCCAATATCTACCTGATCATTGCCATCTGCTCAGTTTCCACATTGTTTCTGCTGGCAATCATTGTGTATATGGCTCTGCGATGCCAGTGTCAACCCAAGGAGCCCGTGATGTATGGCCCTGGCACAGCCACACTGGTTTGTGCCAGCGAAGTGGGCAGCTGGTCCTATTCAAATCGCCACAGCCATATCCTGGCAGCTCCAGCTGGGGAGGCTGGTGCCAAGAATGACCTCATGGTTTTTACCCCCAACATACCTATCTTTTCAGAGAATGGGGAACTGCAGAATGGAAAGGAGCTGGTCCCAAATATATCTGGGCAGGTGAGATGTAAAGAGAGTTTGCTTTCTTTAATTTTTCTGATGTGTTATCATGTGGAGTCACTAGCAACATAAAAAGTGAATTTTCCCATTGAAATTTTCTTAGAGAATGAGATTCCTGATGGCACGCAAAGCGTGTCTTTTGGAGGTTATTATGATTATTTTTTGGTCATGACTGGACCTAATAGTCAGGGGTCCCTTTACCTTTACCTTTATGATTAATTTTAAACAATTTTGCATTTACTTTGTGCAACTCTGTTTTAAAGTTATTTTTCAATACTTGTTTATGGTGTCGCTTAGATAATGTGGGACTTTTTTTGTTTTGCTGAAATGGGAAATTAAATGGTGGGCTTAATTTTTAAATTTATTAATTCATCTCTTGATTCATTATTTTTCATAGCTGATAGATGGCTGAGCTCATTCTTCTGTCATTAACTGCAACCACCTAATAAGGCACCTAAGAATGTTTTTTATCCATTTCTGTGCATTTTTGTTCTATTGATTCCAAGGCAAATGCTGCTCAAAGATTTGTAGACTTCAAAGCTTTACTTCAGATATTACCACTCTGTTTTAATGTCCTCCTTTAATGTCCTTTGTAGCTGTCATAGCCAAGGGAGAACTGCTGTTCACTGAATGAATGACTTATTGTGAATGAACACACATCCACTGACAAGCTTAAGTCTATATTAATTCATAATTTAGTGTCAATCTAAGACATGATTTGTTCTATTTGGGGTGTATTTTAAGAAAGGATTAAAATAAGGCAAGATATGGGGAGTGGAGAAGAAGGTGCTTAACTCTTTCCCCCTCCAGTTGCTTTTTCTGTTCCCCACTGTTGCTTTCTCTCTTGCAGAATTCCAAATGTACGTTTGCAATGGCAAATGCTTTTTGGACTCCATTCAGAGGGGAACATTTGGCAGGGAAGGCAACTTGGAGTGGAGAAATGATAGATGGGGTAATAGTTAAGCATGCCTTCCCCACTCTGTTTCTTTGCTCAGAATTACCCCCTTAGAAATAACATCCATTAATATGGTTAAAATACAGGCACACCTCCTTTTATTGTGTTTCACAGATATTGTTCCTTATGAGGATATGGGTGCAGCTGCAGGCAGCCTGGCTGCTTCCAGGGGAAGGAAGCCAACCCCCCCCCAGCCACTGCCCCTCTTCTGGCCTTGGGAGTAGAGCTGTCTAGGGCTGGAGTTGGGTTTTCCCCCTCTTGCCCCTGCAGTTAGGGAGGCCTGACTTAATAGATGACAATATAGTGTAAACATAACTTCAATATGCACTGGGAAACAAACAAAAAAAGTGTGTCTTGCTTTATTGTGATATTTGCTTTATTGTGGTGCTCTGGAACCAAACCTACAATATCTTTGAGGTATGCCTGTACATTTGTTTGTTTTGTATCACAAAAAAAATTTTACATTTTTTTTTTAAATGAAACATGTAGTTAGAATCTTAGAATGAATTTGTATGGACAACTCTGAAAGAATATTCTTTCTTTCTTTGGCGATCACTCGTAGCTGAGTAAGATTGTCTTACCGCCACTGGAGAAGTTAGAAAGACTTGTCTTTTGGTTCCCATTCAGTTTTTGTGTGTGTGACCAACATTATATACCATCCCTAAGGTACTCAACTGACACTTCTCAGCTGCTAGTAAATTACTAGCTTTCATCCATCTGGCCAGTTTCCGCTGGCTCACCAGCAATGGCTATTCCTTGACAGAGATAGCCTTGACACAGAAAACCATGCTCTGACAACCATCTGCTTGGATTATTGTAATACTTGGTGTGGTGTTACTCTTGAAGATGGAAACTTCAGCTAGTATGGAATGCAGTTGCCAGATTGTTAAGTGGGTCAGCCAGCTGTTCCTGAAGGCTGCCAATGGACAACCTGTCTGAAATAAAAGTGTTAGTTGTGATTTATGAAGCCCTAAATTACTGGCAGCCTAAGTACTTGAAAGAATGTCTCTTCCTATATTGCCTTGCCTGGATACTAAGTTTTCTGGAGAGGCCTTTTTCAGTGTCCTGTTGCCAGAAGTTGAATACCATGTGGCAATACCAGAGAAAGCCTATTCAACGGTAGCATCACATCCACTCTAAGGAATGGCAGCTTCTGACTCAGTTTTCGCTTTGATGTCAACTTGAAGCATGGTTCTTTACTCAAGCATTTGAGATTCATTAAGTTGTTCAGTTGAGATTGCAGGAGATTCCATTATGTGATTTTACCATTGATAGTATTTATTGATTTTAACTGCTCTCTAAAGATTATTACAGATTTGCTATTTTAAATATAGTTTTATTGTATCCCACCCTGCAAACCATTGTGATGAAGAGTAGGCTATGCTATGGAAATAAATTAATTGAGCTTTATTTCCATAGCACAAATTGGGATGCAACAACTTCTTAGGCATTTGTGAGCCTCTCTGAAGAAATACCAGCAGCTGTTAAACTACAACAAAAAGCGGGGGGAAATGCTTGATAAAAGGTAAAAGGGGGATATGTCCCAAAGCAAAGACACACAGATGGAGGGAGCTGTTTGATTTATGATTTGCTAAATGAATATTACAAATAAATAAAAAAGCCACCACTGTTGATTTGCACGTATACTTTGGGGACTGAAGGAGGGGGGTCTTCTGTAGGACCTCTCTAAAGATGTTGGAAGGTTGACTATAATGTGCTTGTAGAATTCTTTGCTTCAGTTGCTAAAATACCTTGGTTGGCCTTGGGTGCTATCTCTCTTTATTAGGATGTGAGGTGCCATTTGTTGGTCCACCTTAGGCAGCCAAACGATTTGGGCCAGCCCTGGGTGAAATAATATTGCCAAACTGTGGGTTGGGCCAATATGAACTGTCAGTTGTTGATCATATGATACAGCCAGGAAACAGGGAATCGGTTGAAAGCAGCTGATCTCTAATTCGATATTGAGTGAACCATTAGTACACAGTTTGTGGTACTAATTTTGAAGTACAAGGACTTTCTGAAAAATTATCTGTATGATATAACTGTCTGCTCCTTAAAGGCTATCCTTCACTGAAGGGAGAAGGGAGAAGCACAAAAAATCCTGTAGACATGTGCTAGTGAACCTGTGGAAGAAGGGTGTTGTTTGTTGCTCTTAATGATAAATAAGTTGGCATCCTCAGTGGGCTTGTTGAGAGAAATTATATATAACCTGACAAAATGTGTTACCTCTTAACTGCTAAGACTTATAAGACTTATTAGATCAAACCAAGTCAAGCGTATAAAACTGCTTCATTGCTTGCGTGTATTTCCGTCCTTTTTGTTTTCCCCTTTGATTATCACTAGATTTCAATAGCTGAACTAGACTGGATCAAGAGCATATTTATAATTTGGGTAGGCTCAGTTGCAAATTGTTCATACTTTTCTGCTAGGTTCCTGTGTACAATTTTTGCAGCTTGATTTTGCCTTCACAAATCATCCAGATTTGCCAGGGCATTGTATCTTATCTATAATCTATGTTTAGAAAATCTATGGTTTCTGACATTTCCACCTTTCTGTCATTTCTTCCCTAATAATATACTTTAAAATATACTGATAATACATTTTAAAATATTCTGATAATATACTTTAAAATATTTGTGTATGCATTGGATAAGAAACTATTTTCATTTCAGCTTCCAATCAGTGGCCTCCTATCAGTGACTAGATACTTGAGCACCTGATTCCTTTTTAAAGGCTTTCTGGGTATTTTCATAAGACCTTTGATTTCCAGCTAGTATTCCACTGGAATTACTGCAGATGGGGGGGGGGGGAACTATTACTATTACTCTTGTTAGAAAAAAGAACATAGATTAGATGCTTTGAAGGATCTCTTGCAAAAGTCTTCTCCGTTGATTTTGTTATATACGCTATCTTAGCCAAAGAAGGTGGATGGGGTGGTACTGAGTGGCCATTAGCCTTCTCAACAGCTGATCTAGTTTATTATGGTCAACATCACATCATTTGATTATACCCATACTATAGAGTGTGTTTGGACAGTCATATGTTGATTGTCCAGTTCTGTCTTTGTTTTTTTGCTATACCTTGTGAGCAAAATATGCATCATCTGACTATTGTGCTCAGTTCCTAAAAGTTGGCTCCAGTAAGGAAGGTGTTTTCAGTGCCATTCACAGGGTTGGTTCATATATAATGCCAACCCATATTTTATTTTATTTTTTATTTTTTGCAAATCATAAGTTAAACTCCAAAATACTAGTTTTGTTTGAGGTGTAAAAAACAAACTGATCTTCCCTGACAATCCCTGAATGCTGTTGGAAACTTTATACTGTGAGGATGGAATAATGCCCCAAAACATACTTTGTTAAACCATATGTAATAAGAAACTAATTTGCACAAACTTTAGAAACTAGTTCAGAAACTTCAGCTAGTCAATAATGCCATTATATGGCTGTTAACCAGGGCCAGTTATTGGCAGCACCCGGCCCTAGTGATAGAACTTCTTTACTGGCTGCCAGTATAAAGGTAAAGGTACCCCTGCCCGTACGGGCCAGTCGTGTCCGACTCTAGGGTTGTGCGCCCATCTCACTCTAGAGGCCATGAGCTGGCGCTGTCCGGAGACACTTCCGGGTCACGTGGCCAGCGTGACAAGCTGCATCTGGCGAGCCAGCACAGCACACGGAACGCCGTTTACCTTCCCGCTATAAAGCGGTACCTATTTATCTACTTGCGCTTAGGGGTGCTTTTGAACTGCTAGGTGGGCAGGAGCTGGGACCGAAAGACGGGAGCTCACCCCGCCGTGGGGATTCGAACCGCCGACCATTCGATCGGCAAGTCCTAGGCACTGAGGTTTTACCCACAGCGCCACCTGCGTCCCGGCTGCCAGTATATTTCTGGGCATAATTCAAAAGGCTAGTTGTGCCCTTTAAAGCCCTGATTGGCATGGAGTCAGGTTGTCTGAAGGACCACCTTCTCCTATATGAAGCTTTCCAGATTTAAATATTTTGAGAAGAGGCCCTTCTCTACATTCAACCAACATCTGAGGTATGTTTGGCGTTGGAAATGAGAAAGGGCACCTCCATGCCTATGCCTAGTCTTCAGAAGTGAGGTCTGTTTAGCTACC